TATGAAATTTTAAGCAGTCGTAATAGGCTGATAAGGCTTTATAATATTTCAATGAAATCTTGATAATTGAATTCCTCTCATTTTGCTATATCGATTTAAAAAAAATCATCAAAATCAGAGCCGTAGAAGCCGAGATATTGAACGCCGAAGAGGGCGCGCTCTTTTTGAACGCGCGATTTCAATTTCTATCATTCATCCCCTCCCCCCGGTTTTGCGGCTCAAACGGTCGGTTTGGCGATATTCATTGAATTTTCATATAAAAAGCACACGTGCGATAATATTTATAAAAGCACATACGAAAAGTTCTTAAAAAACCTACCAAATTCAATTTTTGTTGTTGTTACATTATGCATAGTTTTGCAGCTAACGCTTGTTGACTTTGACACTTGATATCTCGGAACTTATGTGACCGATTTGAACGTTCTTTTTTTCAAGTTAAGCGTCTTTCCGAGAACTATTTTTTAGTACTTTGGTATATATTCCAACCCGCAAAACGGCTTCACGAAAGTATTTGTTTATAAAGTTAAAATTTTTCGAATTTTTAAAATCGCTCCAAAAATTATTAAAAAAAAGAAAATTAATATTATAACGATTCTATATGATAGTTAAAGAGTCCAAGTATGTGTAAAAAAATCAGCGCCAATTAAAATGCCTAACTTTAACCCCAGCACTGACGCAAAAAAATAACGACATTTCGCGCTGAAATTTAGTAACAAATTGTCTCATACCAAAACTATCAGACCGATTTCGATCGGGTTTTGGAATTTCGTTTTGTAATCCTTTAAAGTACTTACATGTACATTTATAGTAGAATTGGACAATTTCTTACCTATCAGTTGAACGCTTCAAAATTACCTCGATTTTCATCACTTTCTTACGCTGTTTTGGCTTTCTAGCAACAAAAATATTGAATACGCAGGTCTCAAAACAATTGTGTCTTATAGCAAATTTCATAACAAACAATTTCAGCAGTAATAGTTTTTTCTGTAAACTGCATATTTAAGAAGTTATATTGGAAAATGTTAGGAAAAACACGTGATTTTTGAGTATTTTTGCAGTTTTTAATTTTTTCTGCAAATAGCACAACTTTTTTTCTTGGCGCAACCTTATATTTTCATTTTTTATATTATTTTTGACCGATTTTTACTAATATTTAATCTACGTCAAGCAACAGCCATATCTCGAAGGTTTTGAGCTTAATTCTCTTGGACTACTAAGCGTTGTGGTTGAGGGGGAATTTGACAGATGTCGACAATTTTGATCAGCGCGTGATTTTACGATCGTTCTCGTTCAATAAAAATGTCTTTCCATGAAAATGCAATGGATGTCGATGAAATTAGTGAATTTTCGTGCACTCCACCGAAAATTGCGCAAGCTGCAAAATCAGTTACTCTTAATTTACTGCCAGAGAAGTCGAGAAGCAAGTATGAGAATCAGTATGAACTTTTTAGTAAATGGTGCGAATCAAAAGGAAGCAAGAAGATGTCAGAAAATATTTTACTTGCGTATCTTGCAGAGAAAACCAGGATAATAAAATCCTCTACACTTTGCTCAATATACTCAATGCTGCACTTAATGTCAATTTAGATTATTGAATTAAAATTGTTACAATTTTAGAATTGAGTAGGTTTATTATTAATCTACTTTATTAGTCTGTTCTCTTATCAGTTATTTTCCACTATCACATTAAAAGAAAAAAGTTTGGATATTTTGAGAACGATAAGAGAATCGTGTTATTTTTTCTTTATATTTTAATGTATCTACATATAAATTTAGTATCCATAGTATGTCTATGTTTATTTGATAAATTATTTATGAAAACGACGCAATTAATAAAGAACTGTCTATTTAATTGTGTTTCATTAACTTTTAAATATGAATATGCACTAAGTACATCGAAAAATGACTAACATTTTATCAAAAGCAATTAATTATGAAAATAGGTGTAGATCATGAACAAAACGACTGTTCTATTATTAAAAAAATATGTGAAATATTATAAAGTGCCAGTAAAGTTGTTATTAGTAAATATATATTATATCAAAGTAATTACCACTGTTAAAAAATGATTGTTTAATATTTAATAGGAGATGGTTGTTAAAATCCCATTTATATTGACTGTACAATAATGACCTACCTAATGAATACCTACCTACGTACCTACCTACCTACTATATAAATTTCTGGATTTATTATTATTTTTTTTATTTAGAGCATAATATGAAAAATGAATAGTATCCGAGATAGTATCTATATTTTTATAATAATACTTAAACAGAGTAATAAAGTAATAACAGAACCAATAATTAAATTCACTAAATAGTAAACATTAGTAGAAAATATGCCTTTTTGACAATAATTGTTCAAAATGTCCACCTCTAACTTTAATACATTTATCAACGCGTTTATTAAAAGATATTTTATTTTAAAGTATAAATCCTTAACGCGAAATGACTTTGTAACATTTAAAACTGCTGCTAAAGTTCTTCTCAGGTGTTTATAGTTTCTCCATAAACAACCTGATTTCATGTAGGTAATTCCAAAAACGAAAATCTATTCTATCTCACATTTATGTATACGAGTATACAATTTAAATTTTAAGCTAAGATGTAATTTTAATTAGGTACAAATAATACTTAATAGAAATTAGCATACAAATGACAGCAATAAGACAAGTGGAAGACGTTAATTTTTTTATTTTCGTCCAGATCCTACTTAAGAAACTTTACCGCTAAATTAATAATACCTGTAGGTACTTATTTGTAATTTAATGCAGTGGCATTGGAAGTTTCAAAGCCAAATATCTCGAAAACGGTGCGAGATAGCTACCTTCATAAAATATACCTTTTTTGTGTAAAAAAGTTGGAAAATAAGAATTTGATACCAAACATGAGATATCTTAAAGTACAAAAAAGTTATGTAGTTTTTAACACATTCAATCTACTGCAGCTAGCGCCCTCTATGAACTTTAACCGAAATGTTTCAATTCCTCTATCCAAAGAACTCTAAACCCCAGAATTTTGTGAGGATATTTGCATTTGTTAAGGAATAAATGAAAAAAAAAAAAAACTGAAATAATATTTTACATTTAACAACCTGTATCCATTTAACTTTCAACTAAGGTAAGTTCCGCTAAATCGCAGTATTTTTGCTTGGGGAATCTACCCATGAATTTTGGCCCATTACCTCGGGACCACTCTGTATTTAACTGTAGAATAGTTTTTCGAACTATACGGTTATGCACAAAACAGCGAGAATTTAAGAAATAAGGAGACCGCGATTGTTATTAAGCGGTGAAAGATATGTTTGAAATTCCCTAAACTTGGATCCTTGGATCGTTGGTTACCTACAAATATTAAAAAAAGTAAAATAGCCAGAAAATAGTTCAGTAAATGAAAATATATTATATTATTATTATATCATACAAAAAACTAAACATTTTAGAACAAAATGTTTCAAACAAAAGTTGTAGGAACTTTTAATACGGATCGAATAAACCCAAACCGGTTTTGATCGATAAATAAGTTAGTTAGTTATTACAAAAAAACCGCTAAAAGTCGTAATTTTTTCAAATAGCTGGTAGCTCTTCCAAAAATAAATATTTTTTTATAAAACTTGGTGAAAGGATAGCTCTTGGTGAGCAAAATAAGATGATTTTTTCAAAATTAAAAAATATTTTAGTTTTTGCAAAAATCGAGTTTTTCGAAAAAAAGCGTTTTTATAAAATCCCCATAATTCATAGGCCGCCACATCTTTAGGAACGGCGTTGAGCTTAAAATTTTCTTTAATAATTACACTATTATGTGTAAATATCGGCCTCAAATCGATTTCATATATCGCAAAAAACGATTGAAAATCGTTTTTTTTTTCGGGGCTATAAAACTTTGATTAACTTAAAGAGCTATTTGAAAAAATTGCGATTTTTAGCGGTTTTTTTGCAATCACTAATTTATTTATTTATCGGTTTGGGCTTATTCGATCCGTATTAAAAATTCCTAAAACTTTTGTTTGAAACATTTTTTTCTAACATGAAACATTTTTTTCTAAAATGTTTATTTTTTTATAAATGAAAAAAACCTGTTTTTTGCCAACTTTGAGCGCGATTTTCAAAATGAAGCCCAAAAATTCAGCTGGGGTAAAGTAGTTTATTGAATTCTACGGAATTTTTCCTAGTTTTTACATACCTATTTTCAATTTTCAAAAAATTAGGTATTTTCGACAATTTGATTGGACTAAGATAAATGATAATAGATTAAACATTATATGATATCTAGAGCTATGGAAACAGATGAACCACCAAAAATATATGTCTTTCCCAGTTTTAATAAACAAACAGATTTATTTTTCGATATGTGAACACTAGTTTTTTATTCCTCCGCTTTTTTGATAAAGCGTTGAAATAGTTTAATAAAATAATACCTCGCTTATCGAAATGACCCATCAATTTCAGAGGTCTGGTTATATTCCTCTCAGAGGTGCCAAAATATCCAAGATGAGAAAAAACTAAAACTATCCACAATTAAATAACTTTAGACAGTAACTGCATGTATCTTCATATCGATTTGAGTTTAATAAAAACAACGACAGAACACCTAAATGTAAGTAAATGCTAAACTAAAAATTTCAGCTGTTGGTAACTATTGTACATTTTTACAGTCAAATATTTTTCGAGCACTGGTTTTTTCAAACATATAAATATTTGCTACTATTTTGTAGTTAATAATAAGTTCTAAGTAAATTGACACCGCGGATGAGCAAATAGACTTCAATTGTCGATATATAACTTGTAGTCTGTCGACATTATTTTCTCTTATCGTCAGCTTAAGGGTCATTTCCGGTGCTATTATTAAAAACACATCAGCATAACGATGCATCCATTAACATTGACACACACACACACATACATACATGACAATATGTGTCATGCGCTAAATACTTCCGATAACCCAATGAAAGCTCTGACACGAAAAAGCTTTTCAGTTTACGCAAGGTGTCAAGTTCAGTCGACTAAAAGTCGGGCTGTCGGAAAAAATGCAAAGCGGCGTTAAGAAAAAATAGTAATCGAATCATGGGGCTAATAGAGTTGGTGCTGGCTGGGTTGTGCTTGAATGCTACGTGTCCGGATGAGAGTAAGTCAGAAGAGTGTGAAAAAAAATAATAGAATAAAAAAATACATACATAAAAATATATGAAAATAAATAAAGTAATATATACGTAAAAACGATAATATCCAGTTTTTTTTTGAAAAAACGTCGTAAACGAGAGGTCGTGGTATTTACAGGAGTCTATTTTTTTGTATAGTCAAATTATTTTTATAAACAAAAATATTGTTGATACTACGCAAATATATTTTGTAATTTACGATTACGAGTATTTTTTTGAGCATTTTTTTAAATCTAATATTTATTAGTTTAAGAATTTGATACACAAAGAAAGAATAAACCGTAAACGAATGCCTATTCTATTTAATGGAAAATACAAAACAAAAACCATATTTCAATGTAATTAATATTACCATAGCTATGCTTACTTTTCTCTATCTTGTCTGGAACATCGTTGCTATAGTCAATTTTTATATTCATTACTTTGTGGTATGACCTTTTCACATTTCAAATTCTTAAATAACATCTTCCTAAAAATGTAGGTATAACGAATTTATATTAATTTACAATAAAATTAAGTACCTATTGTATATCAACCTTTAAAAAATTGCTCATTATCGACAAAATAAGAATTCTTTAATATCATCTCCACCTTTTACGATATAAGCAATTTTGGTCTGACCGATTTGAAATATTTTCCGTCCTTTGCTTTTGTTAATATGGTTTGACGTCATCAAATTTTGTAATGTGGTTTTCGAACAAAGTAGGTAATTAATGTACTCTATTCAGAAAGGCAATTTACTTATAAACTGCTCTTTGGTAGAATGCACTGAATCTACGGGCATATAAAAATGTCCGGGAAGAAGAAATACAATTTTTAAGTGAATAATATTGTTGGAAACTCTACTAATATGGATAGCATGGTCAATATCGCTCTATTTCAATTATTGCCGAAGCTATCATAGCGGAACAGTTTTGACATGTCCTCCCTTATCCACCAAGTAGTTGTAAGCGATTGGAGATATTTTGTGGCAACCGCTGTTTTACCCCATACATAAATAACAAAAAGAGATAGTTTCGTTGTACACTGCATTTTCTCTGGAATAATTGACAAATTGTTTGATCAGAAAGCAAGAGACTTTTGTTCTCTTTATTTTCTTGATGATTTTCAAGCTTTTTCTTTCATCTGCATTTCATTTGAAAATTTAATTTCTTTTATCTTCTCTAATTTCGCAAACAGTGCATTTATCTTTTTTTCTTTTTTGGGAAGATCAAAACCAAGATCGAAATCATTCTCGGAAATATTTCTAAATATTTTGAGGGAGAATATACACACATTAAAGTTATTTGGGATATGCTTAGCGATCTTAAAAGAGACTGTTGACACACTTCGAGTATCAAAGAACATTATTTGACTTCATTTGTTAAGGTTTTTTAGAAATAAAATTTGAACGCCTTTGAATTAGCGTAACGCCTTTACAATAAAGTAGAAACAGTGTTATATGAAAATATATTATATTATTAAATAATAGAATTTTGATTTAAGTCATTTTCAGTAACATCATTTTTAATTCGAAATACACTCACATTCTGAGGCTAACGGTGTCTTCTGTGAATTACTAAATACCACTCAAGTTTTATTAATGACATATTTACCTTAACAAAAGTTGTACAGTCAAACATAAAGTAAATAATTTTTCTTGAATAAATTAAGGTCAATACATAAAGAAAGTAAACAGCATTAACAATATATAAACAAGTGTTCTTTTAATCGTACAAAGTATAGACCTTAATATAGAATGTGTGAAAGAACAATGTAATTATTGTGTTCTTGTGTAAATAAACGGTGATAGCAATGATGACTTTTAGCGTAGGTATGTATACCTGTATGTATAAAAATATAAAAATTAGATCCGACTTAATTACGTATTTCGTTCTATAAAACGTCATGCAACTATGACGCATTCAAATGATGTACTCGTAAATGAAAGTAAAACGGAGGATAGCGAATATTTGTTGAGCACCCCAACAGTTATCTTTTCCAGTAGTTTCATCAAATTTCAGTCAAATTCGTTGTTTTTATTTAATGCTGAAAATTTTGCACATTTTAATTTTCACCGCTAATTTTGCAATTTAAAAAAAAATGCGAGCTTTCGCAAAATCCCATCCTTGTAGCAAATTTCCTCAGGAACAAAATCGATAACTATACCTCATGTCGGTTACAGGCTTATTTTCGGAGATATAAGCGAAAAACTGAGAAGAGCAATTTTTTTCTTTTGTTAGAAAAAATATATGATGCTCGACCTCTACAAATACACAAATTTAGGCTTTTATTCTGTGTATTTTTTACAACAGGTCTAATTCGCCCGAATTATCTACTTTAATAACAGTTAGTCTACGATTTTATTATGATATTTGTAATCGGATCAAAGGCTTGTTTTCGCTACGAGAGCTCGAGATAGACTGTGAATAATGGATGTAATGTTTTTAGGACGTAGAATAATTTAGGCGACGGTCGGAATTATGTTTCTGCGCATAAGAAGGTCAAAGCTCATAAGATTTTGAAACAACTCTACTAAATTATTCCGACGATACATATCAGAAGTTTGTAGGTACTATTCGTGTTCAAATATTGCCTCCTAACGATATGACTGGCACAAAAAAGGAAATTACGACCAAATAAATTGTTTACAAATGTTTACCTACATCTAGCAGCTTTGCTAGACTTGTGTCATGATCAAATTCGAATGGTAATCCCCTAAAACGTTGTTTGGAAAAATTATATATTGATTATATTTTATTTTGGTGATTCTTTTGAAACTTGGATTTTAAATTTAGTTTCTATATTAAATCAATACAGTCACAGGGAAAATTTTAACAAATAATTGAATCCGATCCTATAACATTTAAAAAAACTATTGGAAACTGCCACCATTACATTGTACACGATTTTCTGGTATAAGAAATTACTAATGCGTTTTTTGTGACGGTTTATGGTACTTTAATGACATTCTCGGACGGGGTGATCGATGTCACATAATGGCGTAATATGAGTTGCGAGCGATTTCGAGTTTTCACCTAGTTCTCAAAATAATTCGGTAAACATTCAAAAGCCAATTCAGGGGAGGCACACATAGTTTTTTTCATTGATTTTCTTTTCTCAAAAACTGCTGATGTTAAAAAATTTTAAACTCCAGATCCAGAAAACTAGACACTTGAAGCTTCAATTTTTTTTTCTTATTCTCTGTACGACCATTTCACTCCAAGTTACAGCTCTTTGAAAATCACCCAAAATTTTTGGACTTTTTTATATCCCTTAATTTCTGTGCCTAGAGTATCTCATACATTTTTTATTTAACTTTATCGAGTACCAAAAATGTTTACAAATAGCCTAAGAGAAACAAATTAAAAATTTTGAATCTTGCAAAAGTTTTTGGAACTTAAAAATGAAAGGTACCTTTTTTACATAAAATCTTTAGAATATCTAAAATAATTCATTTCGATAGCATGACAAAACTTTGAAAAAATATGTGTAGAGTCCGGTTTGTTTCTGAATATCTCATATAATACGAATTTTAATACGAAATCATGGAGTCTTATATGTAATACACTATACCAAAGTTTCATTAAAATGCGCAAGGTGGTTTCAAAGTTAGAATCCAAAACGGACTTACTTGACACCCTGTATATTCTGATCAAACCGTATGAGCAATGGTTTAATGGCCATAAAAAAAACTAAATAATCACGTCCTAAGCTCGCCCAATTATTTAGGGTTTACCATCGCGATACATTAACTGAATAAAAGCAAACCTATAGTTACAGCGAAAATGTAAAAGAAATCCTTATATTCAAATAGGTTTTTTATGTCTAAGTATCATAAATGTTTGATGTATTATAGTCTACGTACTTACAGTAAGAAATATTGGTAATGAATATGGAAAAATCAATGGATATTTTATATTGACAATGTATCTGTATTTTAACGAGAATTGATGACTACAATATTCATTAAGGAGGTATATCGGGGTCCGAGGGAAGTGAGGATCGCAGGGTGGGTCCTATGCTTTTCTTATGGGACTAAAACCCGCTACCAACTTGAAAAAATTAAATTCTATTGAAATTATTTGCGATAAACATTATCTATATAGCAAAGAAATCTACTCAATATGCACATAACATACATATTGAAAATTAGCAACATAAAAATATCATATTTAAGTAGTTTTAAATTTTATTTAATGAACGCATAAACACTATGTAGATGTGGCAACAGCGCTAATAATCGAGTGCAGTTGTACACACTGCGAACCTACAGACCTCGGACATCGGAGATATTGCGCGTCAAATTCGGGTAAAGACGCGTACGCGTTCAAAAATGTAAATGTGTGTAAACTATGTAAAATATAATTATTATATATAGCAAATATATCGTATTATCCTCGCGAAGATTTGTATCCTTTATTTAAAATCCGTAAATCATGTGAACTGGTAAAACAACGAGAAAATAATTATGTTAATTTAGTTCTAAAGAAATGAAATGACACTCGCGCCCATCTCTCGTCCAAGTCAAAGAAAATGTTGGATGCAATTTTGAAGGTTCTGTGATAGAAATTACATTATTACTCACTGTTCGTGTTTTTAATCTCTATTTTAGTAATGTTACAAAAGTTTTGCAACTATAACTAATTTTTTAGATATAAAGTTTGCTGAGAAATATTTATGTTCCTTTGTTATTCCGTACAAATGCTTTTATCTCAAGTATTACTAATTATATTAATCAAGTAAAGAAAACTTTATGTAACCCTAAATATTGCTGGGTAATGATTACGATGTTTTTATAAACCATTAAATATATTAAAAGGATTTATCAACTGTATTTTTTATTCCAATAAATATATCACAGCTTCCTAGTCTTTTTTAATTAATCTAGTTTTTTAAAAACATTACAAAAAATCATCTGTTGTGGATAATTTATTGTTGATAACAATGTACATGGGATTTAGGAAAAATGTATATGTTTGAAATCAATTTCGTTTTTATCAAGTCTTTCAAATGTATTCCCTCCTTGCTGTCAGCTGATTGCGACGTTGCCACATTAATCCTCAAGTCAGACAGAAATACAATTATTGGTTTCTGTTTCTAATTAATACAGCTGTACTATGTTCAAAACTTACATTAGTTTTACATCAAAAATAAGATAATACTGTGTACTATCTATGGAAAAGTTTTGTTTCACAATTTCTTCATTTTTTTTCTCAGTTATGGGCAATAAAAGAGCCGCACCGTCCATCTTCGCCATATAAACCTATGTTAAAATTAACAATTTTCAACAACGATATCTTAAAATCTAGATTAAAAAAAAAATTACAAAAAAATATGACGCACAGAGGAAGCACTGGGTAATACGCTATATCAATTTCAAGTACATCTGTGCATTTTAGTAAACCCGATATGCCTCCTTAAGTGAAGAAAAATTTATTTGATTATTACAAAAAGATTACATTGACAATGTTGTTATTATTAATCACATCAAGATGGAGAACTGAAATTAAATATTCTATTCGTATTCCTGCAAAATCGTTTATCATCATTATTTAATAATTTGTATTCAAAAAAATACCAGACAAATTTTAAAATTTTCAGTCACAATAAGGTGTAGAACTTCATCAATTTTTACATTTTTAGGTACAATCGAAAGTTTGATTATTTCACCAAGACAGAGGGAATTAACTATGTTAGCGGAAGAATTAAAAATGGAAACTTTAAGAATCACCACGTTCAACGTAAGTGTTAATTGTTGTAAATTTAAATGAAGTGTATGTTAGTAAGGCATTTTTTTATTACTACTACAACAGAGTTGTCCCCTGTCTCTGTACTTGGGAATCATTGTAGGTACTGTAAACTCTTCTTAGCTTCTCAATTTCTTCATAGTTTTTGAAAATTTCTTCGGATCTTCCTTCGTCACCAGCATCTAAAATATTGAAACAAAATCATTTTTCTTGTTCTCTATATCAAGTAAATCTTCTGTTGTTCCAGAATGGCGAACTGAGTGGTTATAGAAAAAAGGGCAACGAACTGATTGGTACAGGGGTTGCCTTTGATATCATCCATATTCTTCAGGACAAATACAATTTCAACTACACCATCGTCGCACCCGAAGATAACGTTTTTCTGAGTCCAACCAAAAAACTGGGAGCCAAAGATTTGTTAATCAACGGTGTAAGTAACAGCACCATCAGAGTATCCGTTGTTTTAATTCTTGCTTATTTTCAGAGGGCTGACCTCATCGCAGCCTTTCTACCAATAATAAACAGCTTTCACGAGGAAATCTCGTACTCCAGGAGGTTCGATAACGCGGAATGGGTGGTCTTGATGAAGAGACCTAGTGAGTCAGCTACGGGTTCGGGATTGTTGGCCCCATTCACCACACCAGTTTGGATACTGATCATCCTGTCGCTGTTGGTGGTTGGTCCAATTATATACCTTTTGATACTAATACAAGCCAGATTGACCAGAGATGATAACAATAGAGTTTATCCTTTACCGGCGTGTGTTTGGTTTGTTTATGGAGCACTTTTGAAACAAGGCACCACTATAAATCCGACAACTGGTAAGTGGTTCAGACAGTTATTTTCGTTATGGCTGGAGTTCATCAGTTAATACCATTATTGGAATAATCAGTCTCAAATCTTCTTCAAGTAACCAGTATTATTCCACTTTTATCCATTCTACAGTGTGTTGAAATTAAAGAAACAAAAATATGTATTATATTTTTATATTGTAACAGTAATATGTACAACAAAACTGCCTTTACTCAGAAAAATTGGCAGAATTTATCAAAACAATGATTACTTAATTGTTTTTATATAAATATTTCAATTGTTGTTTGAAGATAAATTAGTGAAATATGTCAATTATTCTGCAGAATTTTGAAAACAAATCTCTTATTTCTTCAATTATCTCAGTAACAGTTGATGTATCTAAAATTTTAGTTGAAACTGACATATATTTGAGAAGTAATCCCAGTAGTGCATAGATAAGATAATATATATTTCAAAGAAATTATGATTGTGAATCATATTATTTTCAGACAGATAAATATAAATAAAAATATTATGAGATAAGTTAAAAGACTTATGATTCACAGTTAATGAAAGGATTTACCTAGATTGAAAGGTTCAAGGTTATTTTAATATGTATCAGTGTATGTTTTTCAAACTAATTTCGCAATCATAGCTTTTCTTCTCAGATGCATTCATCACTATTCAATTACTTTACTGATTTTCCTTTCTTTTCTTCACATTCGGACTAGATCCAACCTTTTCCTATGTTTTCCTGAGCCTTTGAATACAAATTTGATATCAGAATTCGTCGGCACGTTAAGATTTTTTTCTAACCTCTAAAATAAGTCGAAATTGAAATGCCAAAAACTGATGGTTACTTGTGATGAAACAATATGTAACTACCTTCATGAGAAACAACCATGCTTGTAATAAATTAATGAAAATGGATACTCAAGTACGTGGTACTCGGAACATATAGGTTAGAATTCCAACCTAACCTCGAAACGTGCGTGAAAGGATTGATACGTTCAAATTATATGGAAATCGGGACATAGAAATCCTTGACTTAACTCATATTGTCCACCATATGCGCAGATCAAGAAAGGAGTCCGCTGTAGAACTGACAAAGACAAAAACAGAACAGTAGGTCCAGACAGAGAATGAGCTCCAGTGCTAGTCTGGCAACATTGCCACTACGCATCTGAATCTCGCGGACAAGAAGAGTTTCGTCAAGGTGTAGTACATTTTTTAAAGAATGAGTACATATTTGACACCATAGTTCAAGTTGATGACTTTCTAACCTCAAAAATATCTAGTCTACAGAACATGAAACTTTCTCGTTGTCTGCATGCATTACTCATTAATTCTATGTTTATTGTTTCATTCAGTATAACACACCTTTATTTCATTTGATAACAGAAGCTAGTAGGATGGTTATTTTTATTTTCAGATTCCTCCAGGCTGCTCTTTTCTACGTGGTGGATCTTCATCACAATCCTAACAGCCTTCTACACAGCCAACCTAACGGCCTTCTTGACTTTATCGAAATTTACCTTGCCAATCAACGAGCCCTCTGATATAAAACAAAGACGCTACCAGTGGGTATCCAACAGAGCCAATGGAATTAAGGATTATATAAAAGAAGAAAACAAAGAAATGCTCCCGCGCGGGGCAAAATTAGCCGATATAATTGGAAATGGGACCACTTTTCCAGAGACGGACGATATGAGTATTCTGACTCATTACGTTACAGACCGCGATATGATGTTTATAAGGGAGAAGTCGGTACTTGACAATATTATGTATAGAGATTATAAAGAGAAAACTAAGAAGGGCATTGACGAGGTTAAGAGATGCACTTACGTTGTTGCGAAGTTTCCCATCACCAAGTTTCCTAGAGCGTTCGCTTTTAGGAACAATTTTAAGTACAGGAAACTTTTTGACTCTGCGTAAGTATTGTTTTGTAAGTAAGCACTGCCTACAACAGTTATTTACACCATAAAGGAGGTAAGTATTATTTACCAGTCGAGGACGATTTTGCGCCCGAGCGGAGCGAAGGCTGGTAATAAAGTCCGAGACTGGTTAATTATACTTAACTGCTGCGTGGTGTATAACATTTTATCTGCTCCCACAGTTCTTTATGGTTCATGAAATAAAGATTAGGTTTTATTTTTTGACATTTCTTAATCAATTCATTTTGACATTATTCGAAATCTCCACTATTTTCATAGAGGGGAACGTGGATATACCAAAATACCCCAAGCTGAAAGCATTTTTGAAACGTAACAATGACTGCTATACACCTAAAAAGTCAAACGTTTTTTTATGCACTATCGAGGAGGTAGATGTTACAACCAACCGGTCGGCAAGAATACCCTTTCTATGATTCCTAATAAGATTGTACAGTTTTTGAAACTAGAACATCCTGAAACATATACAGGCCATTCATTCCGAAGAACATCGGCAACGTTACTGGCTAATACAGGAGTTGATGTATTAGCAATCAAGAGAGAGGGTGGGTTGAAATCAGCCGCAATTGCAGAAAGTTGGTACTGACAGTTTAAGTAACAAAAATGAAATAGTCAACAGGATTCTTTACAATGACACTTCAACTCCAGGTTCTAGTAGTACGTAGCACTAAGCTGTTTCAATGGATCAGCCAGATAATATTGAGCCTTCGGTGACTGAAATGGAGCGGTCAAATCATTTATAGAAAGATGTGACAATTAGTAAACGCGAGGGGAATAATTATCCAGATTTTATAAATGTTACTAAAGGTAATAACTACAATTACTATAAATACTCAACTGTAATAATTAATAAAATGTAATGTTTATCAAATACTTCTATTTATTTGTTCATAAAATATGCATTTATAACTCGAAATCGTTTTTTTCCCTAGGAAGGTAAGTTACCTCACTTACCTTCCGTTGTCCACAGCAACTTCCACTTCTACGGTAAAAGCCACTTACTTCCTACCAATATAATAATAGTCTATTTACTATAGTGGGAGCAGATAAAATGTTTTGTTACATTTTTCTTTACCGTCACATTATTGTCGATTGAAATAAGTTGTCAGAGAAATAATCGGGTAGCTTAGATACTAAGAAAATGTATGCAATCCTGTTTGAAAATATAAAAATTTACATAATATACCCGTCCATAAGCTCGTGAATGCTTTTTACAAAAGATTTTCTGATGTGTCAAAAGCTACTACAAAATGGGTTAAAAGACCCAATATAAACAATCAATGTAAACAGTTTCTGCCATTTAACGACTTTTTCTAATAGATTTCAAGACATTTTTCTCAATCATTTACAAAAGTCACTTATTTTAGGATTCAGCACTTGGTGGAATCAGGCATAATAGAGCACAAATTCGTGGAAAATCTGCCAGACACGGAAATCTGCCCTCTCAATTTAGGAAACACCGAGAGGCAGTTGCGAAACGCAGATCTACTCTTGACTTACTTGATCGTCGCTGGAGGTCTAACCGTGGCTATCGTGGTGTTTATCTTGGAGTTGCTTATAAGGAGATATTGGAAGAAACCTAGAAGAAGTTTCAGAGGGCTGCTAGGGAACAACAAGCACGTACCAACGCCTCCGTTTGAGAATAATAATAATTACAACAACTTTGATTACATCAAGAAAATCACTCCTCCACCGCCCTCTTACAATTCGCTTTTCCAACCTCCCTTCACTTACAGGAACTGTCAAAAGAAAAATATAAACGGAAGAGATTATTGGATAGTAAAGGATGGACGTGGTGGGAGGGAGCTTATACCACACCGCACTCCTTCTGCTTTGCTTTTTCAGTGGTCACGTTGAATTGTTGTTGGATTTGTATAGTTGTGATTTTTTCTAGTTGTAGTGGGAAATAAATGTGTTTTACCACCAAGAAATGTGTTTTTATGTCGTCAAATGTAAATGTATAGAATGAACAGTCAGCTACAGTTTTTTTTAATATACAGACCAGACTGTATATATTTGCAGAAGAGTAAACAGAACTCGATTGACAGAAATATTTTTTGGCAAATACATTTTTTTTATTATATCCAGTTATCACAATAATACGAAGAAATATTTTTGGAACCGCTGACTATTGATATCCCGGTTGGCTCTGTTTACAGGTTTAATGTGCTGTTTCCATTGTTCATCCGCTACACAAACTATATTTTAGAAAGAAATAAAATAATAAGTAAGAAACTAACAAAGTAAATGATTTTATAAACTAAAATACAGGATGGAAAAACAGCAGGCGCACTATCTGCGGCCACAACTTATTACCTCTTTTCATCTAAAGAACGATTCCAGTGATCGTCAATAAGTTTTAACGCCTTTTTGTATTATTAATTATTAATATATTCTACTTTAAAAATATCCTCGTCAAGTATGTATATATAAAGAACGGAGTATGTACCATAAAAATAAACACAAAAATCTTATGCGGCACAGATTCTAAACCTAAAAATTTTTTTTTATTGCGTGTAAAATTGTAAATACCGAAAAACAAATAAAAAAGTATCGTAGAAACATAAACAGAGACAGACACGTACTCTATGAAGCAAATTATATTTTTTCACAATGTTATCTAATATATATCGATATATCAGCTAAATGTACCGTTAAAGCTGATTTTTTTATACATTACGGATTTTAGAGTTTATTGAAATGAACACGTTCTATAATTTCCGAAGAATATACAGTCGGAAAACAATAAAAGCAACAGAAAATGGCTCTGAATATTTGAACGTTGCCGGACTAAAATTTGAGTTACACTAAATTAAAAAGGAAATCGTAAATGATATATTTTTATTACTTACGAGCAAACATTTTCTGCCATTACTGTAATTTCTTTTATTTTGTAAGCAAAACTGTTTATTCTTCCGAGAACGGTTAAATTTAGAACTTATATCAGTCATCAAATCTAAAGCAATAAACATAGGTAATCGTTATTTCTGCATTAATCTGTTTAAATGATTTCTTGAAAGCTTTCTGAACCTATAATTAATGAAATAATATTTTACTGCGTCACTAATTACTTTTTAGTGGTTCTAAACGGGAATACGATTTAGAAAAAAAATCTGCTTAGCAATGAAGTTCAACTTTATCTGTCAAGCAAAAGTGTAATTCTTAAATTAAAGGATTCAGTAAATATTATTGTATTTGTTTCCGCTAAACTTTATTATTTGACCTATTTCTTGTCGATTTGTAGTTATAGCGTTGTAAACCTAAATTGTGATAAATAAAATTAAATAAGTCTATATGCTTCAATTTATTTCATGTACCTATATAAAATACAAATTATATTTTAATTTAATTACGTCAATAAATTGTGAAATTTTAATGCCATTTATTTCAGAGTAATTAAATAGACAAAACTAGAATCAATTATTTGAGATCAGTAGAATAAGTTTGTCTCGTGCCTCGAGATTGGGTTTTGAAAATAAGGGGACATATTTTTTACTTGTAAATTTATGATAAAATTTCAATCTTTGTTCTTTCATAAACGGTGTCCATTTGTTAGAAAAATTTAACCATGATAAATTACCGCAATAATGTACCTTGAAATATAATATGTCCAACTGCCAAACAAGAATATTGATTACGGTACTTATTTGAACTAATTATATTACGCCCTCGATGCAGTCTACTATTACCAATCTACATTCTGTATTCTGTATTACGTGTTCAGTGCTCAGTGTTTGAAAACCACTGGCCACAAAAAATTTCTTTCCTGTTTTGACAGCCAGTAAATATAGCTGCCTCAAGTATGTTATTCTTTGATCTTAATTTATTTTAATCATCGGCAATTCTTTTTGTTAATTTTAATATTTTTTAAAAAGTTTGTAATGTTTTCCAAAAGTTAGAAGTAAATTGAATTGCAGAGTTAGTGTTAAAAGAACTTTTGTTATTCTAACCTATAAAATTTGTGATTTTGTAGTCTTATAATCTCTATTTTATATAGGAAAAGAAAATTATTTATTTTTAATTAAAATTTGTTTTTTTCAGGATGTTGATGCCCAAAAAGAATAGGGTTGCTATTTATGAATACCTTTTCAAGGAAGGTGTTATGGTAGCTAAGAAAGACTACCATGCCCCTAAGCATCCAGAATTGGAAACTATTCCAAACTTGCAAGTAATAAAGGCTTTACAGTCATTAAAATCAAAAGGATACGTTAAGGAGCAGTTCGCATGGAGGCATTATTATTGGTATGTTTAGCTTTTTATAGGTTATGTTTTACGTTAGGTATTTTTCTTTCGCTAGAACTAAATGACACTCGGATGAGAAAAGCATGTTAGTGTACCGATAGCAATATTAATTTAATTATTAACGATTTATATAGTTGCGAAATACACAATTAGGTGTAGAAAGTGTAAATAATGATTCATTCTTTTTTAGTTTTTCTAAGTAGCTTTTCATGCTTGCTGGAAGCTTTTAAGCTTGTAGAATATCTGTAGGCTTATACAGCACACATTTTGAATTTTAAATGCAGTTACTGAGGTGTGTAGTAAAAATTCTTGCACATTTTAATAAAAAAAGTCTTATTAACTGTTCTATTTTATAATGTATGTTATATTTATTAATCGTAGGTACTTGACCAACCCAGGCATTGAATATCTGCGTACTTTCTTGCACCTCCCTCCAGAAATCGTTCCCTCTACCCTGAAACGGCCAGCCCGTACGGAAACCACACGTCCACGACCAGCTGCGCTCAGGTCCGAGACCTCAAAGCCCTCAGAGGACCGTGCTGGTTACAGAAGGACTCCTGGAGGACCTGGCTCAGACAAAAAGGCCGATGTTGGTCCGGGAACGGGAGATGTAGAATTTAGACAGGGTTTCGGTCGTGGTAGAGCACCCCAATAAATCCGTTATAAATAATTTTATATAACTTTACCATGATCAGCAAATAAAATCGTTTGTTGGTTAAGATTTGTTTTATTTGGGGACTGGGAAGCAAAATAAAATTGAACACATCGTTTTTCTTATAAGAAATGAATAAAATGGACGAAATTTTAGATTCTTTTTTTTTGTTTCAATAAACTGACGAAACCAGTGGCTTTAAAACTTTTATTTAGTTCAACAATTTTGTTTCCAAAATATCACGTTAACGAAATTCTTTTTCTCAAAAGCAAATTTGGGGTTTAGTTACCATTAACATAGGGTTTTAAAACACAGAAAAGTACTTAAAAAATATGTTTACTAACATCAATATTTTAATAATAAAATTACATCACAAATTACCTAATAGTTGCGTGCTGTTGAAATTCGACCGTAGAAAAGTTAACGTAGTTTTCCATGGGTATGCTAGGGTTCTCTATGGGACTATGAATCTTGATTTGACGCATATGCGTATCTCGTCCATTCTGGTGATTACTCGTAACTGCTATTTGTATCATAAATACACGAATGGGTTTATCCCTTATATCTTTTATAGGTACGTGAACCCAACCTATAAAACAATACAAATTATATTCTACCATAGACGACTTATATTTGGTAAATACCTGAAGGTTCTGTTAATGTTATTACTTCAATTTCTTGAATATCATTGAAGTGCGTACCCACTCTTATTGAAATCCTGCTTGGTGTGTAACTTTCATCGAGTTTATAGTCTGTGTAAATGTATATATCACTTATAGTAGTTTTTCTTTGGAACTGAATGTTAACTAAATGTGGTAACTGCCCATCCGACTGCCAATAAGTGTCAGCTCTGTCGTCGCGTAATTGGTCCACACCAAAACCTAAAATACACAATTCTTATCGATTTGAATCTAGTACATAAGAACAGTTCAAAACGAGGTACCTGGCTTACAGGAAGATAGACTCCAAATTGCTTGAGATCCTACTTCTCTCACATTACCTGTTCGTTCATTTTTTATGGGATCTACATCTGTAGTAGATTTTAATGACATTGTTTACTAGAAAATTATAAAACACCAGAAACAATGTCTAATCTGCTGAAATTCAGAAGGTCTGAGACTGAATTTTATGTAAAAATATACTATGGTTATGTTATGTTGATGTTGACATTTTGGTCGAATCTAGGTTATGTTATGAGGTGCTTTCGTTTTGACAACGATCTATTAGCACCTCAGAGTAATAAATAGAGTCTGAGATTAGCACAAAATATTAGCAACTGAAAGAATAAAAAAAATCATACAAACTTAATAGTTGTTTTGTTAAATCAGTAATAAATGCTTAGGCTATAAAGAGACCGTAAACTTGTCTTCTAGATAAATCATCCAAAGGTTTAAAAAATCTCGTAATTTAGTTGTTAATGCTGAACTCACTTCAATGGTGCTGCAATGGAACTATAAATCATTTAGATGCGTGGGACTTTTGAAAAATGTTTTTAAGAAATAAAATAAAAATGCTAGAAAAACAGTTGTTTTCCATTCATTTTATTTTTCGACTGCAAAGTCGATTTGACATTATTCATTTAGAATTTATTACTTTGTTTTAACAATGCCAGTTTCAAAGAAGTATGAAGTAAGCTGCGTGGTAATCAACTTTACAAATGTGTTAATTTTAATTATACTGAAATTTAAAAATACCTATATTTGCCTATAAGGCTATCAGTATTTTCAAGTTTTATTTATTTATAATTAAATGAATATTTGAATGTCTCCAAAGTATTAAGGTACATAAATAGGTAGTAGTTTTTTTTTTAATCTCAAATATTTTATGATTTTTTGTTAACCGTGTGGGTTTGATACATACATTTTTTGTATGAAAAAAATGATTTTATCTGTTTAAAATTTTAGTGTCTATTGTGTTTGTGATGTCTATACCTCATTATCGAAAATGGTTACCTTAATACCGTCAAGTTTGTTTGTTTTAATTAACATATTTTTTGCCAAAGGATACTATTTAGAGCACGATGTGGATAAGCTAACGAAAAATTTGTTTGAAAATTTAAGGGCAGACCCCATTTTACTAGGTGAGACAGACATTTTTTATTTGTGCCAAATGTAAAATAATTTTTCACAATGAACATTTTGTACATATTATATTTTTACTAGATATACATTTTCTACTACTTTTACTGATTTGATTTAACGAACATATTTATTGCAGTTCCTTTGTACTGCATAAAAAATGTTACACTGTTGGTACAAAGTATGACAAATATTTCTTTAGGGGAAAAGACGATAAATTGCATTTCTCTTTGCACCAAAGTTTCAACTCGAACTTTAATGAGAGTTGCAAACATTAATGCTTTGGTAATATGTTTAATGTTACCCACACCACGCCACATATTTTAAAAATAGTGACCAATAAATCCCTAAGATAATCTACAGAATATTTCACTTCAAATACGTCTAATCCTGTTACAGGAGGTTATTAGATGATACAAAAATGCATTTTCAACTGTTTAGAACATATTCATTGTCAGTTACACACATAAAATTTCATGTACATCATTTTTTAGATGATTTGGAGTTGTCTGAAAATTCAAAAGCTTTCATTGACAAGCATGTGGCAAACTATTTGAATCTTGTTGTTGAACCTGAAGATCGCGAGTACCCTCGATCAAAGAGGAGTTTGCAAGAAACATTTGAGGAAAATTATTTCGTGGGTAAGTTGCATGTTTCTGTGTTGGAGCCATAGACCTAAATAATGCTGTGATTTAATTTAATTTAAATTTAAAAATTAGTCAAAAAAGTAAAAAAAAATAATCAAATTTTTCTGTTTTTTTTTAAATTGTTTATTAGCGTTTTTTGCATACAATTTTTATTTTTTTTTAAATAAGCCATTTTGATGGGAAATTCTATTCTCTAATTAATTTTTCCTTTTTGCTTCGTTTTCGAGCTACAATTAAAAAACTGAAAGGGTTGCAATTTCACCCCTATCTCCAATTTCCACCCTCTAATTTAATAGCACTCCGCGGTTTTTTCATCTAAAATGACCATTTGACCGATTCATGTAATAAAATATCTTGAAAGTCATTGCATTCCTATGAAATTAGCTCAATTGATTTTGGATAAACGTCTGGAAAGATAACTGAATAAATACAAAAATTAACACTATTGTTTTTTATTAAAAATTTATATGGATAAAAATATACAATATTAAAAAATATACCTTTAAGTACTATTACAATTAATTATTTACAAAATAATATCTTATTTCTTCATGATAATTCATTATGTAGGTACTTAGTTATTTAGGAAGATATAAAGGGTGTTACAAAAAAGTCGTTAACCACAAGTGTATTTTGGGGAAGATAATGGGATTCTCCTTATACTATTTTTAATTTTGCATTTGTCGATTGCTGACACATTTTTAATAAAAAACACTACGAATCTAGGGTATAGAACTGTAGTACCATTCTTACTTTTTTGCACACGTTTACGTTATTTTTTTAGAGGTCTTGTCAAATTTTTATTTAAAACTTGGTTGGATTAACACTCGGTTTAATTTTGTTCAATTTTTAAGCAAAATTTTAAAACTTTACACAAATATCTTAATTTCCGTGCAACGTTTGACTTTAGTCTTAAAGTACTAAATTTGGTACACAATTTAGATACAAGGGTTACAAAATTTCTGAATTAGCTACATTGTGGGCAACCCTACGCCTGCCCTGTGTCATTTTTTATGCGCGACACCCTGTATATCAAAATATACCGATTTTATTTTGTTCATCAAAAATATTACAAGGATTAAATATATTAAAGAAACGCGTTTGATTAAACAAAAATTAAATAGTCCTATTGCGTTCGAATAAAAAATTAGTGGCTAACGCCTTGACCTACTTTTTTGCAACACCGTGTATTTGAAACAATTTACAGATTGTACAATCCTTTCCTACTTACGAATTTATTCAATAGTTACGCCTATACTATACAAAATGCGGTTAAAATTCATGATCAAGTGTTAGATTTGGCTTCGACACCAAAAATTTCCTTAAAAATGTACCCCAATTTGTGATCGTCCAAATACTTGTACAACTCCCCCATGTCCATGTGATTGCACTTGACGCCGCTGTTCTGGAAAACAACCTCCTCGAATTTGTCGAATTTCAGAAAAGACCCCTCCTCCCCCTCCTTGTCTTCCTCGGTAACTTTACAAAAGATCTTCTTCCAATTCATCGACTTAATTGATTGCCACCATTCATTACAGTCGGAAGTAGTTCCTTCAACACAAATAATTCCTGGCTTGCCTGCAATAATATATCGAATGAAGTTAGTTGCACAAACTCGGTCGCTTGATTGATAAACTTTTAGAAAGTCCCTCGGGCTGTGTACTATCAGCGCGTATGTGCGCGGCCGTGTTCGACGATATAATGCTTGCGGAAGTTTTTGAATGACAACTTCGGCGTATATGTAACGTATGTAATTAACTTGCAGCTGTACCTGTACCTACGTGTTGGTAGTATGTACATCGCTGTGTCAGAAATTTACTAATTTGAAACTGTTCTTTAATTCATAACTATATTAATTATTATATGTACAATAAAAGCATGTTTAACAATTGTTTCATGAAAGTTTTTTTGTGTCATATGTCAAAGTAAGCTAAGAGCACTGTAAGTGTGAACCAACAAATTCAGATGAGCGGAAATTGACCATTAATAAACAAAGGCTTATTTAAAAATTTAATTTTCAAATAGACTAACTTTTAACTGAAGTGAAGCAGTGGCGGCTCGTGACATTATGAATACGTGAGGCCCTTGGCTTTTTTACTAGGTGGATAAGAAAAAAAAGCGGCGTAGACAAAAATTTTTAAATTTTCAAGGTCAAACGACTAAAAGCATCAGGAAATTTTTAGTAGCATTTACAATATTTTAGAAAAATTGATGTTCACGAGCAGGATTTTCATGCAGATTTTATAAAAAATAATACGCAACTATTTTATTAATCCGCTCCCAAATAATAAATAGGAATTTTTTATTATGGAGATCTTCGCCAATAGCTCTACTATTACTGTAAATTAAAAATTATGTTATGAATAACTTTAAAAATTGTATTTACAATAAAATTAAGTAACAGAAAAAAAACAAAGTGATATACCCAAATTTCACCGACAATGTTTAACTGCATATTCACTACGATAAATAAATACGATCTACGAAAAACAGTTAAAATAAAAACTTTTTGGTTTTTGAATGACAGGCCTTCAAAGTTGTTGAATAAGATGAAGACGACAATAATGACATTACTTGATAGCCACAGAAATCAACATCTTGTTTTCATCGGCTACTGAACTCAAAGTTTTAAATCCGTGACACTGCTTCGCAAACCGAAACATACAGACCTGCAAATAATGCAATTTTTCTCAAAAATGTAGGCGATTTTCTCAAGATATTTTTTTTTAAATAAAACGGCCTTTTCAATGATGCTGTCCGTTTTAAAAAAATACGATCACTATAAAAGTTTTGACCTCTAAAAGGGAGAGGTAACCGGAGAAAACTATCACCCAGTATATCGATTTGACTAAAGCTTTAAGAAATAATACATACGCCATAATAGTCCAAATAAATGTGCCAAATTTTAATGCGATTGGGAAAAGGGTTATGAGGTTATTAATTAAATTAGTTTTTTTTTTGACAACTGAAGTTTTGTAACTCAAAAACCAAATATTTTTTATTTAATTTTTTTTTGAAGATTGTTTTTATTTATCGTCCTGAATATGCAGTCAAACGTTGTCGGTGAAATTTGCACCTTGTATTTACCTAATAATTAAAAAAATTGTTCCTACTTGGTTTATGAATATTAAAAAATATGAAAAAATACAAAAACAAATTTTTATAAGATAGCTAGCCAACTTATCTAATTACATATAAAATAACGCCGTCAGCTTTTCGTTTACCTTCACTTTTAACAAATATTTTAAAAACAGTTTTAACCAGTGATAAGTTAAACGATCTTGTGTCATCGTATTTCTAAGTCTTAATGCACTTAAGACTTAAAAAGTTTCTACCGAGACACTTGATGCAGGAATTGTTAAAACTGGGCAAAACAATTCGTATGTTTCCGAATATAATATTTCTATCGTTTTTTGAACTTCCAAATTACGAAATTGTTTGTCTCTGTATAAAATATCAAGTTCGTTTTTCAACCTATCTATTTCAGAAACGTTTGGATACATTTGTAATAATAAACATTCAAACGATTTTTCGGGAAATTTGTTTGCATATTAGGGAAATTTTGAGGAATCTATTAAAGCAAAAAAATTTAAATCATGTAAATTCCCAACAGGAGTAGGCATTTAATTAAGGGGAAATATATTTCGAAAATATTTCTAATTACGTTAAATTTAGCCTTACTTTGTTTTGTTGCAAGTAAATTGTTTTTTATTTCCTTTAAATTAATACCTGTCTTGTCCTTATCCTTAAAGCCTTTGTACTATTCCTTATACTGACATCAGACACTATCCGCGTACTATGCGACGCATACATTAACCGCGAAGTGAAGCTACAAAATAAATCACGTTATTTTAACCGCCTCGCTTGGAGGGGGAACTGTAGCATATTGTAGGCAAGTGTGACGCGCCGACAAGCAAAGAAATTCTGGCCTCACGGTGGTGGGGCGATCTTTATTCGTTCTCAGCGATTCTCAACAAGTTTTCTATTAACAAAGCATGTATATTTACTTTAAATTTGTTTTCTTTAATTCCCCCTTCTTCGCGACAAACAATTAACTCCATATTCAAAACAGCGAACTGTACATCTGTATGATAATTTCAATTTAAAATACATTTTTTAAATTAAACCATGGGATAGGTCTGTAAGAATATTATCGACTACTTAAAAGCAGTTGACACCGATACATTGTGACGCTCTCCCGCTGTGGAAATAGACAGAACCCCGAGAGGCGTCTTCACTGAAAAGCTTTATGAAGCCATACTTTACAAGACGCGACAAGCGGAAATATCAATCCCAGTTTACCTGGCATGCAGAAACCGCTAATATGCAATAGATTCGCCAGATCCACTATCTCCCGTCTCTTAGTCTTACTGTAAATGTGGTGCGAATAAATCCAATATCTTATACATCTCTCGTCCTTCACGCTTTCCTCCAGAGCGGGTTTCTCCTTTATTTCGACGTAGCCCTGGGCGTTATCCTGCAGCCACGATACGGCACTGAATATACACGGCTCGCCCCTTTCCAATCCGGAGACGTAATCGCACAAGTCCCTGTTTAGCTGCACATGCCTGGGCCTGTTCAGCGTGTGATTCCTGACAAATATCTCGGGCTCCGCGTACGGGTACTCGTGGGACAGGGTGACGCACAGCTCGAATTTTAACTTCTCCACCAGCAGATTTACGGTCAGGTCGAGGTATTGGGGCAAATATGTGGAGCGGCCGTTAACGAAGTTCTTAATGTCCGATAAAGTGCACATATCTTCCACGCGTATCTCGCCGGGATTGTAGAACACGGACTGTAAGCTTTCCAGCTCGGATAGTTGGGTCTGGAGGTTTTCCTTAATTTTCTCTAGAGATAGCTTGTCCGATTCTGTAACAGAACGATATAAGTCAGCTTTTATGGGGGGTCTAATAAAAGCATACAAGGTGTAACGGCGCAAGGAGATAACTGCTACTGTATTTCCAATAATAGCCCTATATTCGGTTGTTATTTCTTTAAATCAGCATTGACTACAGGGTGTCCCAAAAGTATGGAAACAGCACAATAACTTTCGAAAAATGCATTTTGAGGAAAAATGATTCAGACAAATGATTTAGGATTTTTCCCTGGCTATTCAATGGTGACGCTAGATCTGAACTTGACCTTGACCTTCAAGATTATTTCAAGGTCAAGTTAATTTTTTCAAATGGGATGACCTACTTTTGAAACGAAAAAAGATATCGACCTCTGGTTTGTGTTTTTGTTTTCCTTAGTAAATGGTCTATCAAGCCATGGAAAAACCTATATCGTTGTATTTAATTTTTTTAGTAAACGGAGACAATTACAAAACTTTTCTAATTAGCGTCCTCTACCCTTGCATAGAAACATAATATTTTTATTCCAATATCATAAATATAAATTTTATTAATAGTTCTTTAAAATGAGCCGTCGTTTTTTCAAATCGATTAATAGTCCAAGCATTCTGTCACGGATTAATGTTAAATTTGGAGAAATTATTACTTGGACAAAAAAAATATGACCGTATAGAAAATTAAATTTTAAATTGAGTTTCTTGTTCTTTAAACTCGATCCAAAATGGCGAACATGGTTAAAAACAATCGCAAAGTTGAAAAAAACGGTTTTTCTAAAATAACTAAAAAAATATAGCACGGATTGAAAAATTTTAAATGAGAAAGTTGTAGGTTTTAAAAAGATCTATCGACTGATTTTTTGAAAGTATCGATTGCTTTGTTACTTTTCGAGATATATCGAAAAAACCGTTAAAAATCTTCTCTTTTCTCTTCTTCTATAACTCGTTTACATTTACGTGCCCATATTTGCTATTTACTGCAAGCATAGCCCACGGCAAGCCAAAAAAGTACATTTTTGAAAAATTTAAAAATATTAATTATTTTTCGAGATATATCGATTTTTTGAAAAAAAGGCGCTCTCGAAAATTGGCTAGATCTTCTCAGCGGATAGCCCTACAGTAACGATTTTCGGTTTATTTTCTTCGTAAAGAGTTATATTATCATGCTGTTAAAAAATGTTGACGATTTTATTAATTTTAAGGATCAAAAAATGACTTTGAATAAGTTGCACTTTTTTGGGTATGTTTTTTTCAAATTACTATTTCAATTTTTATTTTATGAAAATGACTTTTAAAGAAAGAAAACTAAACATTTACGGGTCTATTTTGCTTCTAAGGCGAAAATGCTATAATATTCGTGTTTAGCTACCCCAGATTAAGTACAAAAAAATAATAAAAATTGAAATAGTTATTTGAAAAAAACATACCCAAAAAAAGTGCAACTTTTTCAGTCATTTTTTGATCCTTAAAATTAATAAAATCGTCAACATTTTTTAACAGCATGATAATATAACTCTTTACGAAGAAAATAAACCGAAAATCGTTACTGTAGGGCTATCCGCTGAGAAGATCTAGCCAATTTTCGAGAGCGCCTTTTTTTCAAAAAATCGATATATCTCGAAAAATAATTAATATTTTTAAATTTTTCAAAAATGTACTTTTTTGGCTTGCCGCGGGCTATGCTTGCAGTAAATAGCAAATATGGGCACGTAAATGTAAACGAGTTATAGAAGAAGAGAAAAGAGAAGATTTTTAACGGTTTTTTCGATATATCTCGAAAAGTAACAAAGCAATCGATACTTTCAAAAAATCAGTCGATAGATCTTTTTAAAACCTACAACTTTCTCATTTAAAATTTTTCAATCCGTGCTATATTTTTTTAGTTATTTTAGAAAAACCGTTTTTTTCAACTTTGCGATTTTTTTTAACCATGATCCGATCCATATTGGATCGAGTTTAAAGAACAAGAAACTCAATTTAAAATTTAATTTTCTATACGGTCATATTTTTTTTGTCCAGGTAATAATTTCTGTAAGCATTTCTCTATAATGCTTGGACTATAAGGCATTTAGAAGTTATGACAATTTAAAAGTTTCAAGATGGCGTCCTTCATACCGGCGTTGCTATGGTAATAACAAACAAAACGTTCAAACAAAACCTGTGAAGGGTTTAACAGTGTATTTAAAAAGTGTGCCACAGTTCTTTTCCATCTTATTGTCTTTTAAGTATTTGAATATCAGCTTCACTGTCAGCGAGGAAGGTGGCAGACGTATTCCTCAAAGCAATAGCAAATGTAACTGGATGCATTAGGAGTTTTAAGTATTCTCCAACTCTTCTACAAAACTGTTGATGCCAACCGGTTGTATAGTTCCTCAAAATTTCCTTGGATTACCTTGGCAACACCTTAATTATGATCTTATTAGCATATTAACACCGTTCTATCTTTTACAGAGATCAAACCATTTAAAAAAGTACCAACTACATCTCCAGTAGACATAGTTCTGTTCCAACAAGATTTGGTGTGGTATGCGGTCTGCTTGGAGGATGAACCTAATGGAACATTTACACAACAAATAAAAATCAAGAAAATGTTGGTAAGTACATGAAAGTTTAGTATTAAAAGATAATCAAGTAAACCTAACAAATAATAATCAGCGTTAAGACATAATTGAAATATTAAAAAAAATACATAATAATGTTTTTAATTAGTCGCGAATTTTGATACAAAGAATATCGAAACTAAAAAAAAATATGTTTGAAATGTATAATATAGAATACTGCAAAAATTAATGGAAAAAAAAATTTTTTTTAGTGATTTTCCAAAGGCTGAATCTCAGTGAAAAATCAACAACAACAAATCATTTTGAAGCTTTAAGTCTCTATTTTCAAGATCTTTAGACAAAAAATTTTTTTGAGCTACGGTTATTGATCAATCCATTTCGAGAAAAAAAAATCAAACATTTTTTTTGGACTGTCCATGGACATGGACAAAATTTTTTTTCATCCTTGACATCAATTTGAAAAAGTACAAAAAATGACTTTTTACAAAATTGAAAAGTCAAATTGAAGCTGAATAAATAAGCTAACTGACCTACGTATTGATTGAGTTTGAAAAAATTCTATGGATAGTCCTAAAAAAACAATTTTGGGAATATTTTTCCCGAAGTATTTCTTTTGATTGCTCGATAACTGCAGCTCAAAAAAATTTTGTTTAAAGATCTTGAAACTAAAGATTTAAAGCTTCAAAATGCTTTTTTATCTCGATACAACTATTTTTCACCGAGATCCAGCTTTTCGAGAATCACTAAAAAATTCTTGAAAATTTTTTATTCCTTTTTTCGCTTCGAAATATTTTTCCAGTAGTGTAATATAACAGCTGTGCTGGCAGTTTTAAAGTTAACCATTCAACCCCCAGCGCCTTGTGTTGTATTTAACGCCGCTTAGAGAAAAATCGAGAACGATCCATCCCAAAAGGAAAACTTTTTTACGCGATCAAACAGACGAGAACAATTGGTCAATTATGTGACAAACGGGAAGAGTGAGGGCTGTTTATAGGAAAAAATTTGTCTCTGACATCCCGTTAACAAACTTGGTAGTTATTTTTGCGTCTCTTAACAAGTTCAAACTCCTAATGAGACGAATAATTTCCACGCTACTAGATACCTACGTAGATATTTGCAACAGTCCGATAAAGTTAAGTGAATTTGCGCTAATTAAGCTTCGCTCGTCGGTGTAGGTACGTCATAATTAATGAAGTAGATGTAAATATTAACTCTTGTAAAACCGTCGGAAACAAATGTATCGTTGGGATTAATACCAATTCTGATATATCGCTGGTTTTCCAACGACCACATACATTTTTACTTTGTACATAGTGTAATGGGTTGAACAATTTTCCGTTAATTGAACGAAAAAAAAAAAAACTTTTTAACTAAACATATTGCAGGAACCAACTATTCTGCGGAATACGGTCCCGATAAATATGTAGTAAATAACTAAGATCTTTCGTCAGCATAAGGTACGACGTATTACTAGAACCTGGAGTGTCATTGTAAAGAATCGTGTTGACTACTTCATTTTTGTTACTTAAACTGTCAGCAACATAACTTTCTGCAATTGTGGCTTATCTCCACCCGCCATGTCTTTTAATTACTAATATATCAGCTCCTGTATCAGCCAGTAACGTTGCCGATGTTCTTCGGAATGAACGGCCTGTATATGTTTCAGGATGTTCTAGTTTCAAAAACTATGCAATCTTATTAGGAATCACAGAAAGGGCATTCTTGTCGATTGGTTGGTTGTAACATCTACCTGCTTGACAGCGCATGAAAAAACGTGAAATTTCAGTTTTAATTTCCAATTCAATCTTGATATGTTTCTTGAGAATTTCTTGGCGAGAAACAGAACCCAGACGAGAAGTAATAGTAAACGTATGTGACATACCATTTTTAGAATCTGGAATTGTAACTATAATAATGTCATCGAAATTTTTCAAATTGACGTTGTCCAAAGTAAGTTTGCATAACTCATCAGAACGGCATACTCCTGCCTAAGACCGTCGCTACCTTCATTAGCAGATATGTTTTATCGTGTGCCTGAATGAGAAAATCGTTGACTTGTTCTCTTGAAAAAACGTTTGATTTTTAGGTGTATAGCCGTTATTCTCACGTTTCAAAAATGTTAAGTATAATTTACCAGTCTCGAACTCTATTGCCAGCCCTCGCTCCGCTCAGGCGCAAAATCTTTCTCGACTGGTCAATAATACTTATCTCCTTTATGGTGTAAATAACTATTAGCTGTTTACTAGATATTGTGGGTGTAATTCAACGCTGGACGGGGCTGTAGGGCGCTGAGTAGTCGTTTCTCATAATACCATTAGTTAAATAGTTTCCTTCAGCTATTGCGACACCAGTCATGCTTTTATACTATCTAGTAAGTTATTTTGCATCGAGCCTCATTGACAATAATTAAAACATAACATATACAGGGTGTTCTACAAGCTCCATGACAAACTTTGACAGATGGTAGCTGGGGAAATTTCAAACATTTTTTTGTTTTATGAACGCTGGTCCAATTCGATTTTATTTAGAAGTTACTAGCATTTTAAAAAATATAATTTCATATTTCAGTCAAAGTAGCCTGATAAATAAAAATGATGGTTGCTATAATAATAATTATTATTTGGGTCATTTTGTTTATTCAACTGTCAAAGTTTGTCATAGAGCTTGTAGAACACAGGTTATGTCTGAAGTTATTCATGTTATTTATTTGTGACATTTCGTAGTTTTCTTTATTTATTAGGTATTTTGTGGTGAAAAAAAATTCTTGACGTTTTGAAAATCGATCTGTTTCCGTCTTATAAACTATTTGTAGAATAGTTGAATATCTCCAGGAGAAATTGATTCTCTGCCCTTCTTTGAGGATATACTTCATCTTCTTTAAAGCAAAAACATTTTAAAAATCCTCTTTGTGGTTGTAGTTTTGATGCAACCAAATCAGTGACCAGTATTCTAACTTCGACTTTATTAATGACTAAACTTCTTAGAATTTCGAATTACAAAACAAAGAAATTTAGAAGCGAAAGCGGCAGACTTGTCCTACGGAAGAAATGTAAACATCTATTATTGTGAAATATTCAGTAATTTTCCAGTTTTTAAATAAATAAAACACGATGTATCGATTTTGTAGTACGAAGATAGTGTTGTGCTTAAATTTAGCTCGAATTATGAATATCTTAAAACAGGAATTTAACTTTTCATCAAATTACGTATTTGAAAAATATGCAATTAAAATACCCAAAGATTCACGTCGTCCAAATAATCATATGTATTAAAAATAATTTAGGTACTTAACAAAAAGCCAAATTCAGTAATTTTTAAACGCATAAGTACAAAACAAACTACAACATATGCTCAAAATGTTCACAACTATTTTCGATGCATGCACGACACCTTCGAGTACAATTTTCGCGCACTACCCGTTGGAAAACACCTCAAGAAAAGGAAATAGTGGTACGCAAAAAACACTCAAACACGGTCCAATTCCAGATACCAACTGAATGGTATACTATGCACGCAGTTATGTCAATATTCCTTAATTAATCGAACTTTTGTACATCAAGTTTGGGATTTTGATAATTTTTTTCTCGGAACTGGTTGAGTTTATGATTAGGACCCATAAGGTTTGTTTGTTTGTTTTAATGTATTCTATCGTCTGTAAAAATTGAGGCAGTCAAACTTCTAACACCCTGTATTATCGCACTAGACGACAATTTAATTATTACCAATCGCAATACCGGCTCAATTTGTAATTTATTTATATATCCGTTGAACTATAATGGAACCTCTAAATTTAACATATAATTCACTTGCAAGAGGATTATCATCACATTAACTAAGCACGCTAAATACATACAATTATTAATTCAGCGTCAGAATATCTGGGAATAGACAGCTCTGAGGGTTCTCGGCAGCTTCCCAAACATTTTTTCACATCTTGATACCCAGGATTTCACTTAATATTTCATAGAGGAACCTGCAATGTCCTCGGGACAGTACAGTGGTAAGTACAAAGTTTAACGGTTTCTTGATCGCTGACCTGGAAGTAATGTAGAATCCTGTACACCGTTACCAAATCTTCTATCGCCATTACAGTGTTATGAATTAAATCGGTATAACTTTGTTTGAAAGTTTATTATGTTTTCTTCAGGAACAGACAAACATCCTTTAGAAATTGTACATCTTTTTAATTTGATATCCAATAATTTTGAGTTGTCAAATTAAACTTTATTATGTCGACTATTAATATGGTTTAAAAAAATTAGGCATCTCTGAACGAACTCCGCTCCCACGTAGCAATTAATTTTACAGAACGACAGTTTCGAAGAAGTTGCCAGTAGAGGAGTTTCAGATGGAGTCGGGGTTGCCGCTTTCTCTTTAGACACCTTCACTATTATTACCGTGGTTGAAAATAGTTCTGGCCGGCAACAATTCGAACGTCAAACCAACATCATGAAGTTCAATGCAGAAGAAGGACTCGAAGTCGTTCAGAGAATTAACACGTCTTATTCTAGCCATGTGGAAATTTGGTGAGTGACAATTACAGAGCACGGTTTGTTGTTAGTTATTCGGAAGATCAGTGAAAATATTCCTAGAATTGTTACGTTTTCAATGTGTTAGATGTTTTATTTTTGATCATTTCATTTATGCAAATGGTAACTGAATTTTACATAATATATAGTGTATTTCGAAAAAATGTCATAATTCCAGGGGCTGCTTGATGGAATATAAAAAAATATACCAATTTTTTATCTAGTCATATCTTTTACAAAATATAACATGTTGCACTGAGTTCTAATATAAGTTTGGGTTGCTAAAAACTGTCGTACTATTACTCTGTTATTTTGCAGTTTTGTGATAAACCCCTACTATGAAAATAAAACAATTCAATGATTATACCAGGTCCGGAACATTTTCAAAATTGCAAAAATACCTATTTTATCTGAGTTTTTTTACTTATATCTTGGAAAAAAGTTTTAGAATTGAATTTTGCACAATATACTGTAAATTAAAAATGTTATTACCGATGTTTGAAAATAGCAATAACTGATGAAAAAAAGACAAAATAATCAAGTTTTTTGGATAATTTTTTTAAAATATTTTAATTGTTCCGAGGGCATTCCAATTTTGGTAAAAAAAACTTTAGAGTATAATAAAACAACACGCCAAATTTCATTAAAATCGATTCTATACTTTTCGCAAAATAATTTTTTGAAAAAAATTTTTCGAATTTTCAAAATGTTGCACAGCCTCAAATAAAACATCTAGATCAAGGGTCAGCAACTGGCGGACCACGGTCCAGGTCCGGACCGCGGAAGGTAAAATACTGGACAGCCAAAAATTTTTTTAAAGTATAAATTGCTCAAATAAATTATTTAAAAAATGTTTTTTACGTTTAAGTGCCAATCTTATAATTTTTTCTGGTATTTTACAATTGTGTGTGTTTTGAGTTCTTAATAGTTAGTAAGCAGATTAAATTTGAGTCCAAATTAAAATAAAAAATAAGAAATGTGAATTTTTTTTCTGGACCTCGTTAAAAATTTTCAAAAGTATCCGGACCCCACCTAAAATTACTTGCCGACCCCTGATCTAGATACTTGAACATAAAAAAGACCGCTCTACCTTTCAAATGGTTTTTGAAAAATTGAAATCGTTTGATTAGGACGACCACAGTAAATTTTTAAAGTCAACACTCTTTTTTTATTTTTAAACAATTAGATTACATTTATCAATTTGCAGTTTAGTTTATTTCAAATATAATCATTTTAAAGTACTATTTTTTCTTAATTTTATCTGTATTTAACAAAAAAATTAATTTCCAAATATTTTTTTTTTAATTTGTTTAAACAAAAATTATTTAAATAATATGCAATAGCATAGGGTAAAATATACAGTATACTTAATGCATAATTAATAAACTTTGTTTATAACAAAATATGTGCAAATTAGACAGTTGGAATTGCGATATTCGATTTCCTTGGCTCGTAAGATAACGGATTAAAAAAATATATCGAAATTAGTCCATTAGAAGCCCATTCAATTCTAAACCTTTTTTCCTTTTCAATATTCTTCCAAAATGAATGGGTTCCAAGATATAAATAAAAAACAGCTAAAATAGCTACCTTTTTCAATTTTTTAAACATTTTTGCAATTTTGAAAATGTTCCGGACCTCGCCCAGATCTAGGGATCTACACTTCTATTATGTGAGTTGTAGTGAAGATATTCCAGCAAAAATTAGCTTGCCCCCTTTTACACCCAAGAAATGGGGTATTTCGACAGATCCATCCTGGTCTAGATAGCATTACAATATTTACAACGTCAAAACAGATTAAGTGTCAAACAAATGTCATAACAGATATGGGCATATAAAAAAATGAATCAAATAACGGACTAGCAGGTCATTAAACGCTGGAGGCACCACGGGTGTTATAGGATAATAATTCCCAAAATCCTTTCTTCAAAAACACCTAGTACAGTTACACAATGAACGGAAAATTTAAATCATAGCTCAGAACAAAAGACAAACAGTTTATGGTCGGGGTATCTTCGGGGCATCAAATCTTTAGGATTCCCAAACGCGCTTTGAATTTTAATCCTTGATATGTTGCGGAATACTAATTATCAACGGATTCGTATGTAGGGGTTCCCATATATTTTCGACAGCTCCCTGCATCCGAAGTTTCTGGTACATAAAAAGATTCTTTCCCGAAGTTTATTAGTGGCTGATAAAACGCGTTTAGTCGAGTTTACCCTTCGCCTATAAATATTAATTAAATTTATCCTTAGGGAGCAGGAGAGGAGCATGTACATGGCCATTGCTCAATATATGAAGGAAGGCACGTCTGGGACCGTCTTGGAGACGTACACTCCTATATACAAATGGCAAGGAAGACATTTCGACTTAATTCAGTTTATAGGGACGGCTGGGGTTAGGAAGGTATCGCATTTCTCCGTTGAAGGCGTCCATTTCCTGGCAGTGGCCAATTCTAAGTCGGACGGTCGTAAGTTTAGTTTTCGTTTTGTATCGGTTCGCTTTTGATTTTTCACAAATTATGGGTTGCAAGTGTAGTACGTTCTTTTATAACAAAAGAGGTGATGAAGATTTACATGAAATGTGTTAATCGCCTGGCAATCATAACAAACACACACACCTACACGCCTTTTTAAGAAAAAAAAACTTTTTTCCTTAAACTTTACTTTTTTGGCTTGTCATTTTTTCGCTTACTTATTTTATTTCTTGCCGTCTTACAGCAATAAAATCGATTTTTTTCTATGCTATTATTACGTGTCCTTGAAATCTTAAAAAAATATATTTTTTTCAAAAAATTTGAAGATCTATATCTCAAAAAAATCTCAAATTATGTTGATTTCTGAAGAAAATTCGTTTGTTCACCAGAAAAAGTTCATTATAATTTTTTATTCGTCACATCTGCAAGTTTCCACATAATTTAAGTCGTTTTTCGTTTTATTTATAGCATTTTCTTTTATGTTTTTAGATGCTGAAACTTATTCAGAAATTTTTAAATACGACGTGGAAAGAGAAATGTTTCTACCATTTCAAAGAATTCGAACATATGGCTGCAGGGACATCAAAGCGTTTAAAATTCCCTTGGAAGAAGAAGAAGAAGAACATTTCTTAGTAGTGGCTAACACTGGGGAAGAAGGTACAGAATTTTCAATTATTATTTTATTTTTTTGTTTATTTCGGCAATTTGCCTATTCCGAAAAAAATTAAAATTAATTAAATGAATCCTTGTAGCAAAAGAATAGTGAAAAGTTTTTTTAATGAAATAAATTTTGCCCAATGAAAAACAAAAATAAAAGGAGGTGTCACTAAATCTAAATTTATCTTGACATCCATTAAGAGTATGAAAAAAAAATTGTCAGACATTTAGATATTAAAAGTATATTTGAAGAAACATTTTCGGAACCGCTGACTTTATTGATGACTCGGCTAGCTCTGTTTACAATAATACAAGGAGATTCAGTCATAATGTCATCAATTTTAAGGGAAGCTAGGGAAAAATAAATAGATGAATACGCGATTAAAAAAAATTTAAATGCATATTTCCTAGGGTGGCCCAAAAAAAACGAATTATTTTTTTCGTGTCTCTTATGAAAATATGTTAGTTTATCATGTTTTAAGAGCCCCCTCAAAAAATCAGCTCAAAAAAAATTTTTTAGAGGTCGCTCAAGATTTTTAAAAATTTCCAAAATCGTCAAAAATTTAATTTAAAAAAAAAATATTTTCTCGTTATTTTATCATTTTCTAGGTTGAAAAAAATCTCGATTCTGAAAATTTCAAATCGATATTTTAATTTCTAAAGGTCAATAATAATTATTTTAACTTTCAAAGTACCTCTAAAAAATAAATAGCAACGAACTAATAATTTTTTTTATTGAATTTGATGATCAAAAGAATAGAAATAAATCACGACACTTAAATTTTAAAAAATTAAAAAGTTATAAATATTTGATACTCAGTGCGGTAGTAAATTTTGCATCGAGAAATTTTTTAAGTGACTCGTGATTTATTTCTATTCTTTTGTTCACCAAATTCAATAAAAAACATTATTAGTTCGTTGATATTTATTTTTAGAGGTCGCTCGAAAACATTTTAGATACACTACTTGTAAAGTCAAAATAATTATGAGTGACCTTTAGAAATTAAAATATCGATTTGAAATTTTCAACCTAGAAAATGATAAAATAACGAGAAAAAAAAAATTAAAAAAAAAACAATTTTTGACGATTTTGGAAAATTTTAAAAATCTTGAGCGACCTCTAAAACATTTTTTTAGCTGATTTTTTGAGGGGGCTCTTAAAACCTGATAAACTAACATATTTTCACAAGAGACACGAAAAAAATATATTCGTTTTTTTTTGGGCCACCCTAATATTTATGATGAAAAAAAATTCAAATCATTATTTTGATGTCGGCCTGAAGCGACGTTGCCAAATTTAAACATTTTCCTTTTAAAATATGTATTGAATGATCTCAACTAAATTTAAAGCAACTTCTATCACATTCAAGACGTTGAAAAACTCACGCGAAGTTTCGAGTACCCGGAAAATGTCTATGAGGAAAACAACTCCGATATTCCGCTGCAGCGGCATTCGCGTTTCTTAAACATTCTCCATATAAAACCACCATTTCCGCATATTCAAAATTCGGAAAATTACGACCGACATGCGAAACAATCCGAAATAAACTGCGGGTTGTATTGTATTCTGCATAGTTTCTACATGTCCCCTCTCCATAGGTATCACGTGATCTCCAAATTTGCGGGAAAACAATGCGAAAGATGAGATTAACGGTGGTAGATTTGAATATTTTATTATTATTTATGTGGTTCTGATGTGGCGACGCTGTTTCGCTTCAATGATCTAACGCTATGTGGTCCACCAGCAGAAAGCCTTAAACAATAAGACAAAACATTTCGGTAATAAATCTAAAGTACTAGCAATTTTTCTGTTTACTACTTACGGCGCGCTATTTATGGCCACAACTATTCATCTTTTTTTACGTAGGGAACAATTCCAGAGGTACTAAACAAGTTTTAAAATTTTGATTATGCAGTTTCAACAGTTTTGATTATTAAAAACGCTTACGTTAATGCATTTTACCCATCATTGAGACACTGTTTTTTTATCGTACTTAATTTGTTTCTAAAAATAGATCCGTATTTAAAAATCTACATACGAGATTTAAATTTCGCCTTTCGCCAATCGCTCCGTGCGAATGCCTGTCCCGAATCGAATTTTACAAATTTCGGATACACGTGGCATTTCTGCCTCGAGGCCAGTAGAGCACACCTTGCAAAATTTTTGGGGAATTTGTTTTAAAATATTCATGTGTTATCACGTCTCCGCTCATCTCGCGGCGTAGCTAGTTATCATAAAAATTCTATCACCTTATAAATCCCGAATAAAAAATTCTTTATGAAGGGACCCGAACGACAGCTATTAGGGCCGGAACGAGAGGCCTTGTTACTGGATAAACTACGCATTCGTTACTGCATTAAATCACGACGAAGTTGGGGGGGGGGGAATGTAAGTTTATGCACATTAAAAAAATGTATATTTTTAATAAAATACAAGATTTACAGAGAAATCCTAACTACTTTCTTACGTAAGGTGTTCTTAAATCGTTTTTAGGATAAGTACTACAGTTGCTTATTGTATTTATAAAGTATTATTCGGTCACTAACCTAGTTTTTATAGCGTTTTTAATACGTAGTGAACGACAAGCAGTAAACAGATCTTTTTACCTAGACACATAAATGAATAAGATATTTTTTACATTTTAAATATTAACAAGTATTTATTTGTTAATAAAAACAAATGTGTAAGGATAATAATTAATTGTTTTCGAATGTTAGGTTATTACAATTTAGTATTTTTAATTAACGTTTAACGTTTTCACTATGTTTTATAAATGAATATGAGTTTTAAGTCGCACTAATTATTCAGTTTGTAGTACGTATAGCTAGTGACTTATTGCTTTTCAAAGAGCATTGTGGTATCTACCGTTTTAAAATGCCAATACGGCTAAAACAACACTCTCCGTCCATAGCACTTTGTTAATAATAATAACGTTAGGATACTTGATTTTGAAACTAATTGCAAAATTCAAGATGATTGAGGAAATCAGCTGTTTTTCTTCAATGTTCGAACGTTCTGTGGCCCGCCGCACTATGGGTCAGGAAACTTGAAAAAGTGGCTAAAATACTAAAAGTGTCCCAATTGCTCTAAAGGTTTTTGAGGATCCTGATTTCGAATCCGTACTCAAAATTAAGAAATTCAAAATGGCGGATCCAATATGGCGTACGAAAATGCTGAAGATGATCTGATTGTGCTGAAATTTGGTATTAATGGGTTTTCGGGGTCGCTGATTTCGAATTCGTACCCAAAATTAAGAAATTCAAAATGGCGGATCCAATATGGCGGACAAAAATGCTAAAAATGCTCCGATTTTGCTGAAATTTGGTACTGAAAGGTTTTTTGGGTCGCTAATTTCGAATCCGTACTCAAAATCCAGAAATTCGAAATGGCGGATCCAATACGATGACTATAAAATGACAAAATGAGATTATGTATTTGAAACGCCTGCAGTTTGGCTACAAAATCTGTAGTTTTCAGGGCTTACCACGAGGAGGTTGCAGTGCAATTTCAGACCCCCTTATTTTTCTGAAGTACTGGTCCGCCATAGCGGATCAACCATTTTGAATTTTACAATTTTGACTTATGATTCGTAATCAGCGACCCGAAAAAACCCCGGTACTAATTTTCATGAAAATTAAAAACATTTTTTGTGTTATTGGTCCGCCATATTGGATCGGCCATTTTGAATTTTACAATTCTGACTTCTGATTCGTAATCAGCGACTCCGAAAATACGTAAATGCCACATTGCGTGTGTTTCTGTCTTTATTAGGACTTCCAAATACGTAGATAAAATTAATGACATTATAACCATATGTGTGGGCCTTTAAGTCCACTTTGAACATTTTGACAATAATTTTCCATTTCAGGTTATGATGAAGTGAAATACAATGCCCCATCCATAATTTACAAATACGTCGAGGATTATTTCATTCCTTTCCAAAGTTTGCAAATAAGGGATGTTACTGGACTAGAATCCGTCACGGTGAGTAAAATTTAAATTTCATCAGCACGCATTGGATACCTACTTTTTATTATTACTTTTATTTATTTTATTTTGTTTTAACGGACAGACATAGAGTATATTTTTATCAAAGCAAGTATTTCTTGGGTATAATAATAATTGACATGAAACAGCGTCTTCATTTTATATTGGCTTAAATTTTAATCAAAGGTCAAAGCAAGCCGTGGGTTTCGAGTTGCGGGGGGTTCCTACACATTAATATTTTTTAAAATTTCCAAATAAAGTTTGGAATAATGAGAAGCGGAGATGTAAAATTTGGTTAGTTTCAGTCATACGTAGAGACAAGAAAACCAGAAAAAAAACAGGGTAATGATGTCACCGACAACGTAAAAGCTTTCGAGCAATTCGGCTTCCTTACCGTACATGAAAAATTCAGGTAATGAGATTTCTTATTTTACATTTTCCAAGGTATGTCCCGGCCCGGCATTTGAAATATAAATTTCCGTATTTTTTCCGCTGCCTTCCGAGACCCTCCGCCATAATTGAAAATCTTCAAATCCTTTTCGTAAAAAATAAGCGGATTAAATTAATAACAAACAAAATAAAAAATGTATGTCCCCGGCTTCATTTGGAATACACTCCTCATTTTAATGTGCTGCCCCTAATTATTCCCGGTTCCGTTTGTACAAGCCAAGGGATTTTATACGGGGATTTAATTTTTTACGCAAATCCGGACAGTCCTGGGCCGTTAATAATATATACATATTTCGCATTCCGTTCGGGGTGTTCAGAAAATCCCCCAACTACGATTTGGTCCCATGAATGGATCTAATTCAAAAAGGTTTGGATACATTTGTAATAAACAGTCAAACGATTTTTCGGGAAATTTGTTTGCATATTCGAGAAACTTTGAGGAATTTACTAAAGCAAAAAAAATTAAAAACGCGTTTCAAGTAGGGATAAAACAATATCCAGAGCGGGATTCATTATTATCTTGTTTTGTTCCAAGGAAGTTGCTTTTTATTTACTTTACTTTAAGCCTTTGTACTATCATCACTCACACCCAAACGTTACACGAGTACCGCGAAACTGACACTGTAAGCCGAAGAAAATGGGCCTCAGGTTCTCCCATATGAGTAACTAAATAAGAGGGTTTTATTCTGCGTATTCTTCGACAGCAGCGGCAGAGTACCGCCATCTGTAACTGGTGCAGCAAACGACACACTCGGAAACCACAGACCATACAATAATTAAGGAAACTGCATTGGAAAACACAATTAGAGTAACCATTAATTCTACTATCTAATAGATGTCGCTGCACCATAATGGCGGTAAATTTAAATGTAACAAAATACACAAAGAATAAAAAGTGTTTCATAAGTAATAGATCACAAAATAGCTATTACTAGTTTATGTTAAGCATTGAAATTAACGTGACCACCTGTTCCATGACCCATTACTTATGAAACACTTTAATTATCACTTGGTTAAATGAAAAAGTTAAAGCAGTGATAGGTACTTAAATGTGTGACAAATATACAAATTCATTTTGTTATGAATTTGAAATTATTTAAGTATCAAAAAAATATAAAGAGAGACTTGTAATTATTATTTTTTAAAGAAAACTGCAAATTTTAAAGAATTTGAAAGAATTATTTACCTGCCTTTATGTAAAATGCATTGCACAGTGACTTGACAAAAATTATGGTTAGATACATTTGTTTCTAAGTAATTGGTGTTCATCAGTACGATGTAATATACTACACTTATAGCACTTATAGCATGTAACAATTGTAAACATATGCCTTTCGGTTTTTAAAAGGTGGAGGTGAAAGATCATCCTAAATAGGAGTTCGGCAGCTCGTACTATTTCATAGTACGAGATTCTGTAATGTTACGTTTACAAATTGTTTTGCTGAATGTTGGATACTATCCGAGGATTCCGAGGTGATATTACTACAATTAATAGGTGAACTTGTAGTTGATCCTAAAAATAATGTCGGCACAGCACTTCCTATTACTGTCTTTTAAACATTTTTTACTCAGAATGGTCTTCACAAAAATAATGATGTGTTTGTCGGAATAAATTCTAATTTACATAATTTTCGAACTGATTGCACAGTAATTGTCTGTCTTTTGTAATTCTGAAAAAACTTGTATTTCTATAGAACGTATTATTGATATTCATATAGTAAGAAATGCTTTTGCAATTTGGAGCACAACATTGACGTTTAGTTCTACCAGGTACTCATTTTGGATTAAAAAAAAAACGTATAAAAAACAGTAAGGTAGTTCAGACGATTGATTCAATAAATCCCTTCTTATATTAATTTAAAACAAAACAATTTATTAATGCATAAAACGCGGCAACCTACCTGAAGTCCTGAAGATAAACTATAACCTCAAATCTCCAACATTCTACGTTGATTGAAATATTTCAGTCAACGCATTCTATTTCTGTTGATTGAAAGATTGGAAATACAGATCCGATCTGTGGTTGCAGATTTCTGTTTTAACAATTTCTATAAAGGACAATGTTTTGCTGCACCAACGTGAGATGGCCTCAGTGAATGCATGCTCCGTCCGACCTATCCAATAAAAGCCTCTTATTTATTTACTCTTATGGGTTCTCCGCGTAAACACGTTGTTTTAACCGTCTCACGTGGTGGGGGAACCATAGCATATTTAAGTGTGACGTGCGTGTAAGCCAGGAAATTGTGGCCTCACTCTGGTGGAGCGAAATATTGAAACAATTATTTTATTGTTATGTTATTTTGATTTTTGACAAATGGTAATTGGAAATTAGGTTATTTCCTTGTTTTAAAAGCTACTTTTGCTTTACTATATCGTTATTCAGTATAAAATCACAGGAAAATAAAAATTATGTATTTCCATAATGCGGTTGCTTTGTGTTGACGAAAAAAAACAACTGATAAAATCAGTTTGGAACGTATTCTATAATGCTCAATTTTGCTAGAATAAAGTTTACCTATTTTACGCGCTACATATAGAAAATAAAAGACTCTGGAACGAATACAGTTTCAATTTTCTCCACTGTAATATAATGTAGATTTAATATTGAATTATATTGTTATTAGGAAACTGGAATAAAGTTTTATTATATGCATAGCCTGACAAAAATTAGTTTAAAGAGGTATAATAAGTTGCTAACTTGTTCCAAGTTTCCCTTAAACTGTTGTACTACGCCTGTGGCAATTTCCACCAGCAAGCACAGAGATGCGTTAGTTGTGAGTTGGGAAAACTGCGCTTCCCCTTTCGTGTTATATCTCACTGCCGTTTTCGAGTATATTTTGAGAACAGAGTGCTGTGAACATTACACTATTTTATTGTGGATAGGTACTAAAATTCAATTTTTGCAATAAGCAGGTAAAACAGATTTTCGATAAAATAATATCACCTTTTACCATGTTTCAATTTTTTTGTTGGGTATCTATTCACTGGAGCAGTTAGTAAATACCAATAAATGAACATTTGTTCATTTATTTGGATATTTCCTGAGATATTTATGTCGAAATGTTCCTTCAGAACAACATAGTGCGTTTAAATTCCAAATTAAAAGTCAGTAAAGAAGAGCGGAAAGAATATCGAAAGTTGAGGTAGGATAGAATGCTGTCAATAAGGAGGGGAAGACTGAGGACGAGACCAAAAAGGGGATTGACTGTGATTGGAGAAGGAATACTGAAGTTGAGACTGAACAAAGAACGAGACTGAAAAGAAAACTGATGTGTGGAAGAAGCATCTTCTCTGTCAGAGAATGGAGTGCGACAAAAATAGAAGCAAACTAAAAACTCCAGCGTCTTTTGTGTTCGAATTTTTATGAAATGTAAATAATATTGCGACGGAAAAGAGAAAAATGATAAATTAGAAGAGATACAGAAGAAAAATAGTAAGAGAAGATTCGAAACACAAAAAAATAAGAAGTCCGTTCAGTGAAACAAAAAAAGTTTAAAGGAATCATAAAGATTTTGCAACAACCAAACTACAATTAAGAGGAAATGTAAATAATATTTCGACGGAAAAGAGAAAAATGATAAATTAGAAGAGATAAAGAAGAAAAATAGTAAACGAAGATTCGAAACACAAAAAAATAAGAAGTCCGTTCACTTAAACAAAAAATGATTAAAGGAATAATGAAGATTTTGCAACAACCAAACTAAGAGTAAGAGGAAATGCTGAACTAATAGACATCACATCCAATTATGAACACAAGGCGTTTGAAATAGATGATTGTCATACAAGATAATTAATATTTTTCGGATAAAATTATCAAAAAAGAAGGTAGTGATTATGAAGCTACACTATGGTTCAGATGGCTAGTTACTGAAAAATTATGAAAATGGCATCAGACATTAACAACTCACAAATGCAATATATGAGGTTGGTTTTGCATATGAGTTAAACTTATATCCAATTTTTAGTTTTGGTAATGCTGATTTAGCTGTTCCAATCATTTGTTAAGCTCTCTTAGGTATTTAAATTTTTCTATTTTCCACTTCACCTGAGTTTTTGATGTAGTAAGTTTATCTTGGAAATAACCAATTTTATATACGCCTGAGACGCAAACTTTTTTATCTAATTACTTTCTTTAACTCGTCTTTGCAATTTCCCGACAAAGTCATCCAAAGCTTTCCAGCTACATTTACAAATTACCGCGATTAATATTGCCGGGATACACCTTTCAACGACACTCCAGGCGACGATCTAGTTTTATCTGTAACCCATCATCTGCTTAACATACCGGCAAATTTGATGGATCATTAGCCAAGACCAACACAAATTCGTGTATCCATTCGTCAGAGCTAATTAGAAAGTTGTTTGCACATTAAACACGGTGCAGATGAACAGTTACTTATATTAATGATTTGAAAGATGGGAGGCGCTCGAATTAGAACGATGTTTGATTGGATTTTTGACACAGGATTTGGATTTGTCATAGACTGGGAGAAGTTTACCCCAAATGTTCGATAATACGAGTGGAGCGAGTATATTTAGAAGCCTTAGATGGCGTAGTGCTATGAAGAACTGTTCAACAAAAAACGGTACCTACTCTTAGACGTGTTCATAGAAAGTTCCAGAAGATGTGGGATATACTGGCGGCAAGGAAAGTTTGTGTGTGCTTTTGCATAGAGGATTCCGGTGGTGCAAAACAATGACCAACCGATGACTATTAATGGAACGTCATGACATCCAAGACTAGAGGCTAAATTTTTAAGAAGATTGAAACAATACCGTGGACAAAGTCATAAAATGAACGCTGGTGATATGAATGATACTGGGAATATGTAAATGTTCCAATGCAAGGAAATAAATCTCGAACAACAACACATGACAGAGTTGTTTGATTCATTGAATCGCAACAAAGAAAACTGCCCACAGTTGCAAACTGAGTGATGCAAAACTGAATTTATTGTCCGATATTGTGGATACGATTCTAACAATTAATATGGGATCCATTTGATAGAAGCAACCTTCTAGTGCAATCCCGACAATAGCGTTAGGAGGAAATCGTCCAAGTACGGAACTCCTTTGATTCGATTCCTTGCCATTAGGCTTTCAGTTCCAGGACATTTCTTTTATCCACCAGGTATGAGGCCCATCAAACTAAATCAATCTATTATTAGCTCTCTCGAGACCGCAGGATATCGAGGCGAAGTTGCTTTTTATTCCCGTTTTATCTCTTAAAAGAATTAACTTAATGGTGGCTATCAGGCGAGGTATGATTTTTAAATTCGCACATTTTTCCCGTTTCTCCATTCGTATTACTCCTTTCCCTGCTTCGATTTAAGATTTCATTTTATGAACACCCACCCGTCGGTACAAAAAAATTGCAGGGCTTCAAATTTAGGCAGAGGGAGTCTGTTGAAAGGCATATAACTGGAATATACCGGGTGTTTTCAAAGGGAGTGGCACAAATGGTAGCGGTGAGTCTACAGCTAAAAAGTATATGTTTCCCAAAAACCTTAATGAAATGTTAATCCCTTAGCGGCTATAATTTGAAACTGGAAAAAAGTACATATGACAAATTACTAACACAGGTGCAACTTTTCAACCATTTTTCGAAAATTTGAACCCTTGGAGAGAGTTGACAAGAGAATACAAGAATTGATTACTATGGATATAAAGACATTAATACTTGCTACATCCAATGATAATTGTAGCACACCGTGTGTAATGTTATGCTAAATTCATCTTTTGTTTCACGTATTGCGCCGAATATTTCCCATTACGTATATCACTAGGCTAATTCAGCGGACTGTCAATTTTACACACCTAATTGGGCAATTAGCAGCATCAGAACAGTACACAAAAGCTCAAAATACATACGATTGTGGGAGCCGGGACTCTGATTTACGTTAACCATTTGTTTCATTGTGCAGCGCCGCCTTGAAATAAAGGATGCGCACAGTGCGACACTACGAGCGGAACAAGATTCTTGTGATGGTCATGCGGTTACACAGGGTGTTAATGTTTCAAATATTTATATTATTTTTCCTGTAGCTTTACTGGCATAAAAGATCGGGTGATAAAATTTGGGGGATGACATGTTTTAGTAGGGACTATTTTTTCATGGATAACTTATTCCAAAATACGCTCCAGTGGCGTAGTTATTGGGGAAGTGGTTTTTTAAAAAATGACCCAATTTAATAAAAACACATGTTTTAGTTAATCACTGCTGATCAAACATAATAAAATCCAAACTTTAAAGCCAAATTTCGTTAACTTCACGCGACTGCAACCTTCGATTTGTCTGAAATTAATTTCGTTTCAGGTGAAAGGGGGCGAAGTCGTACTTTTTGCTGCGACCACCAACGGTATTAAATGTTTTCACTACAATGGATGGCATTTTGTCGAAAGCCAAATTGAATCCAAAGATGAGGCGACGTTAAGCCCCATAAAGGCGATGCACTTTTACGAATATCGAGATAAAAGCCTTGCTGGTAAGTACGTGAATCCTACAGGGGCGCGCGGCATAAGCCCATTTATTATTAACTGGATGAGGATAAACAGCGAAATAAAAAAAGTCGTAAAAAGCGTGTAAAAAGTTTCAGAAGGAAAAACAGGCATTATTTAGTATATTATTGAAAAAATAATGACCCCCCCCCAGTCATCAATCGAACTGTCAGCTAGGCTTGATGGGAAATACTGCTGTGGTAGAAGGGGAGGTGTATAATTATTCTACAGGGCGATTCCAAAGATGTATCATATTTTTTATATCCACCGTGACATTTCAAAGTCATGAGATCTCCTCTGGCGTCTTCCAACAACTTGGTTGGTACCACTTTCCTTTACAGAATAGAAACAGTCAGTTCTGTGTTACGTACGAAGATCTCAATGACATATTTTTGGTGAAATATTCTTCTTCATAACCTTGTGTGTTACTGAATTACAAGCATATTATCCTGTTGTTTGATGTCATTTAAAATCACTTTGGTTAACTCTTCTCGACGACAGGCACGATAATACTTTGACTGAGGCAACCTGAAACAATAAAAATGTATTTAAAACTTTTTTCGTGTTCTTGTGTTTGAGACTAAGTTAAATCTTAACAAACAATAGAACAAATCCTACCTTCATCATCAAAAAATGGTCATCCAATTCTTCCATAAAGAATCTACGCCTGCTCTACTAATACGCTGAATTTTCTAGCCTTGTATCCAACTGAGTGGTAGCACCAAAGTGATAAAGGTCTTTTGGTTTTAAAATTGTCAGCGAAATAATTGATTAGACTGTTATCATTAATGGCTTGGTGCTTTTTTTGCCACACACCAATACGTGAAACTATTGTATTCCTTTTCATACTTTGCCCTAGGCTTTTCCGTTGGTAAATCTTCGGTTGCAAAATTAAGCACAAGACATAATCTTCAAACTCGTGCAATAAGAACCTAGTTACCGCTCTTGTTACGTAATATACCATTATACTTTATAAAAAATATTACTCAACTTAAGAATCACTCTGTATAGCTAAAAGCATTAAAATTGTTGTACACAACAAACGGGAAAAACAGCGTCAGCTACATTCGGACAGCCCTTATACGAACAGAATGAAGTATATCTCGTGGGTAGTCCTTAACAATAAAAATATGCCGATTGGAATTTGAAACATTTCAAGTAATCTGCTTTTATATTTTCTTGCGAAGACTTCAAAGTGGCTCGACGGACATAAATGAGCCTATTCGGTTGCCCTCGCGTTGACCTTTGAACTTTCCCCGTGGGAAATGAAGTGTATAAAAAAATGAACTTGAAAATATTTCAGCAATATTATCTTTTAACGTTGAGTAGGATGTTTTCGACGTATATACTTTGGATTAATCGCATTTGTTGCCCGTGTCTGTCGGATATCTTTCCACATTTTTCGTTCGTTTAATATTATCCATTTTATTACATCCAAATTGCTATATTTGGATTCACGGGCATGACAAGATGCTTAAAACCGGTTTGCGTGCTATGTAAAAAAAATAATAGGGGTTTTGAAATATCGATTACTTTTTTTTAAATGACGGTCATTTAGAAACGCCCCGTATACATGTGTATGTGTTTATTTCAGTGATTGTAAACGAACAAAACAAAGGAAGCTCGGTTAATGTTTTTGAAATCGGTTTCTCCTCAAGAAATGAGCTGAAAACCGTTTACAAAGAAATGCTTATGTGGTGCCTAGATAAGAAAAAAAGTATCGAAGGCATGGATGAAACCGATATTTTAGAAGCTTCACCAAGGGGCGACATTCCAGTGGTAAGGGTTTCATATCGGTACAAATGATAAAAAAATAATATAATATTCCCCAAGTATCTACTGCAGTGGTCCCCAACATTTTTACTTTAGTCGTAGACATACACCGTGTCCCATTTTAATCGATCACTCCGAATAACTTTGCAGGATGACTTCCAGAACAAAAGTTGTGAGGTTTCTAAGGGAGTCGTACGGTAATGACCTTGGTTTTAACCCAGAGGTCAACTTCAGAATTTCAAATGGAAACCCCATTTGGTTTATCCAGAAATGGAAAGACATGAAATTCTACATTCGGAGATATTTGATCCTGGGTCGGATTGACCCCTAGGAGCCTTCTGAAGGTCTAATTAGCGTTCCGATTGAAATGTTTACATTTTATGGCATAGATAGCTTATTTTTTGTGGCAAATTCCGTGTAAACTACCGTGATCATGATTTATGGGCTAATTGTGACTCTGACCTTGAGCCCTAGGGTCAAATTTAGGGGTCATTCAGTTAATTTGACCTTCAAAGGGCCCCTTTGGGGCCAATCTGACCTAAGATCATCTCTGAACGTAGAATTGCCTGCTCTTTGCTTTTCTAGATGGGGTTTCTATTTGAAATTCTGAAGTTGACCTTTATATGACCCCTACGTTTGATCTCTAGGTCAAAACGAAGGTCATTATCGTACAACTTTTGTTCTGGAAGTTTTTCAATTGGAGGTCATCCAGCAAAGTTATTCGGGGTGATCGATTAAAATGAGACACGGTGTTGGAGACTGCTGGATTACACTTTAGGTGTTTAAACCTTTTATTCATGTATAGGCATCTCAAAACAAATCAGAAAATTTTGAAAATCAGAAGGTAGAAGGATTAGTTGAGTTCTATATGAAAGAATTAGATGACATCGAAGCTAAGTTAAGTGAATTATTTAAAATGAAAGACAAAGAGGAAGAAGTAATAGACAGGGATATAAGAGTAAATCAACTAATTCTAAATAAAGATGCGTTTGTAACATCGATCCAAACTGACTCCATCAACGACTTCGAAAGAGACCTCTTTGAGAATGTTTTGGATATTGATAAAGGATTTGAGACTGATTCGATGGAATTCACTATTTTGAGTTTAGAAGACACAATTTCTCCTCAAACTATCAACGGTTTTCCAACAGACAGTGCATTACATAAATCTGGACTTGCAAACGTTGATAACTTACTTGTGGATGGAGTGGTAGAATTTTTATCTGGGTTTAATGTTGAAAAGAACATTAACAACATGACAATAAGCAAAAGTAACACACTGTTAAGTAAAGGAGATCAAAATTTCCAGGATTTTAGTGTTACAAATGTTGAAATAAACCAACTAGTGTCTGAATTTTTGAATCTAGCTAACACCTCAGCACAAAATACTAAAAATATAAATAAACTGAAAGAATTAAATGTGAAGAATCTAACAATAATAGATCTTGTCAACGACGTGGATTTAGCGACACTGGAAAAGTACGCTTTGAAAGTAAGCGGAACTCAGAATATCACCAAAAAGTATAGCTTCAACAAAATCGAAGCTGACAATTTAGACGCAAACACATTATCCAACAGGAAACTTTTGGACGACTTCGTCGCCATCACTCCCGGAAAGCGTCGCGTAAATAAAGACGTCAAATTCGCCGAGGAACTGGTCGTAAACAACCTGAAGGCTTCGAAATATCTGGATAACATCCCAGTCAAGAACGGAAAACTCGATATCCTTCAGAGGAATTCCACAGAGAGACAATACATTTCAGGAGTGAAGTCGTTCGAAAATTTAGAATTATTGAATCCCATACAGATACGCGGGAAGATAAGAAGTAAAGTATTCGATACCATGAATCCGCGCGTTACTGTCGACGCCAGTCTCGACTTAAATGATGACATAAGGATTACGGGCGAGGTTATAGCGGGAGGAACAGTAAAAACCAACGACGTCGTCGCCGCAGACGGAGCCGGTGCACTGCGAGTCCTACAACAAGGCCTGAAATTAACTGATACTGAAATACCCATTCACTTGAACTTCGCCCAACACATAAACGTCGAAGGAGTATTTGCCGAGAGAATTAATAATATCGACCCGAGCTCTTGGGTGGTAAATGGGGTAAAACAGGCTCAAATCATACGGGGCTGGAAGCAATTCCCGGGCTATTTGGAGATTACCGGCGATACGGAAGTTTTTAGAGTGAACGGTATTGATATGGTTGGATTGGAGAAGAATGCGCTGAGACTGGACGGCGATCAGGTAGTAAGTGGAAGGCATTACGTGGAAAGGGTGGTTGCGGAGAAGGGGTGAGTATATGTCATTTTATTCGTCCTACAACAGAAAACAATGTACAAAATTTATCGATGTTTCGATTATAAAAGGTGTCCAGTAAAGGATGCGACTCATATTGCACGTCATTTCAATGGTAGAAAAAGATTTTGGGTTGTGGACTATCAATATTTACCCAAAACCAAAAGTTATTAGTTTTTTTTTCAATTTGATTTTGTTGCTGGAGTTTTTTACCTTAAAAAAAGAACATTTGTTGCATGGCAAGAAAAACCACTGTCCTAGAGAAAAACATTGAAGTGAAACAGCTGATTTCCTAGTCGTCATCCCGTCCAGTGCAATTGTTTTCAAAATCAAAGTGCAACGGATCTCAACTATATTAAGACTTTGTAGACGAATGCGTGACTGTTTTTTAGTCGTATTTGTCATTTTAAATAAGCAGTAGGAAAGTAATGTCACAATAAGGTATGCGTACTACAACATATGTAATACTGAAAACTCATACTCAATTATAAAACAATGAAAATCGGTTTTTTTCCTAGAAAAACTGGAGAAAATGTGAGGTAAAATTAAACTTTTATTAAAATGTATCATATAAAGTGTTCCAGCCATCATATTTGCAAATGTAAGTAATATATTATTATATATTTAAAAAATAACAGTAAAGGCTTTATAAAAGGTGATTCAGAACTTCCAAAAAAAAATAAAAATACAATTTTATAAAGAAAAAATCAAAAAGGGCAGATAAAAAATGATTTAAAAATATACTTCTGCACGCCACTGGAAACTGGTCCACTGTAAAACCTGACCGCGCACAATGTAACCGACATGGCGGCAAAAACTTGAAAAAACTTCGCAAAGAACGAAATAAATATAATTTTATAGCACCTATTTTATATCAGCAAACTCAACTGCATTGCTGTTATTGTTATTACTAATTAATAAAATTAATTTGCGGTTTTAATTAATTAAATAATTTGACAATTGATGTTACAACTGTTCAAAATTTTGTCCACCGACGTATAAATACATTTGGGTCCGTCTTACTCAGTTTCTACGAACTAACACAAATGTTTTCCTGCTTCACCATAATACAATTGTTGTCTTACTTCACCATAAATTAGCAACTTCTAGTTGCTATACTTGCAAGCCATTCTTGACAGTAACTACTAAAAAACTGATGTAAACACTATCGCAACGACAATTGTAAAATCGAATTTCAGTATTCGGAGTCGTTGAGGTCACGTAGCTCTCCTCGCGTATTCCGAATGACGTTAGAGACTACTGTTGTCCAGCTATGTAATGGTTGAAAGTCCTACAACTTCAATATTTTTTTCTCGGAAACTATTATATCTACAAAAGTTTTTTTACGATACTGACTCCATTTTTCATGACGCATCTATTCCCAAATTTTTTTGACTCACCCTGTATAAACCGGCATGCCGCGAGGATCTACCGTTTTTGAGATAAGTTATTTTGAAGGTTATCTCATCTCATCCTAACTTTTGACGCACAAATTAAGACTTGTCCTCTGTTTCCCCTTGTAATAAAAAAGATACAATTGGCTTATAATATCACACAAATGAAATGAATGCTTTCTGTACACATCTATTGGTAATATAATCTGATGTTTTGTCCAGCATTTTTCATAAAATAAAATTTATTTTTACAAAAATGACAGCGTTTTGGACTTACTTGCACGTTTACACTCCTCTCTGTACATTGTTTTCAGATTTAAATTTAGATTTTTTCTGTCAAATACTTAAAGAAAAGCAGAATTGGTTCTAAAATTGTACGTTTGATCAAAATAATTCGATGGCGAGACAATCAATTTTCAGAAAAACTCAAATTGTAATGAAACGACATCAAAATATTTTGATATTTCTATTTTCCTTTTTAGAATAAAAAGTGTCAACGTAAAGCTTGGTTCACATAATTGGAACGACACTATAACCCCTGGAAAACAAACTATAAACAGCACAATGACGTTCAACAATCTAGCCTGCGATATGCTAAAGGCCAATAATCTTAACATAAATGGATTCGTAAACGACCTGAACATTTCAGAACTTCTGAAAGACGTCGCGACAGTAGACACAGCGTTCAAAATTTTCAGTCATAAGACACTGAAGAGTCTAACCATCGAAAACCTCAAAGCGAAAAACAGCTTCGATTTCATGAACCATATGAAGCACGACATAAAACTTGCTGGTGATTTGTACATCGACAAAGAAGTTGCCATCAGTAACATTCACTTTACTGACAGTTGTAACGGTGTGGAAAAGAACAATTTTACTGTTAGTAAGAAGTTTGAAAATGGGTCGTACTTTATTGATGGAAGCCAAGAATTTGACACAATAAAAGTGTTTGGGGCCGTTTTTGTCGACAGTAATATCATCAATGATGTAAATTTAACGGACTTTGAATACAACACCATCAAAGTGGATGAACCGTTTGATTTTGAGACTGTCACTTTCAGTAAGTTCTTGCGCAAGTTGGGACTTTTTTCAACAGTTCATTTTTTTAGACGAAATCATTGTAAATAGTAGCGACATAGAGTTGGGTGGACATATCGACCATTTGGATTTAGATAACATTTTCCAAAATAATAAAGAGAGTCCACAGTCACTTACAGATGAGAAAATTTTCGATGAAACTCTTGTGGTGGAAGGCGAAGCTACTCTCGAAGGCTTCTTAAATGGTTTTGCTGTTTCAGATTTATGCGATTTCATGTCAGAAAATTCAAGTTCGGAAAGCCTCATTATTGAAGGTAAGTTTATTTTAATTTTGAAAATGTGATCGACAATATTTGAATAAATAAAAATAAACAAACAAAAACGAAACAAACAAAAAATGAAGGAATCTTTTACATATCAAAATATATTTTTTATAGGTAACGCATATTTTGATAAAGGTCCACAAGTTTCACAATTTAATGGATTTGATGTCGAAACTCTAGAGGATGTTATATGGTTTAGAGACAAACCCTTTAAATATAATGGATACATCAAATTTAAACATAGCCTTACATTTAATAATAACTTGACAGTGTCGGTAAGGACAATTTTTTTCTTATTAATACAGAAAATGTACATCGTTCTAAAGCTGTCATCACACAAAGCGACAAATACGTCGTTCAAACTGCTTATAGAGAACTATTATAACATAATATTATCCAAAGCTCTGTTTTCGTTTTAAGTTCCTCAAAAATTCCACAACTCTTTTGTAGGAACAAGTAAATGCTAATAATCTCAAAATAATAAAACTACGTCATAAATTTTTCCTTAATAGTAAAAAGGTATTACAAAGACAATACTTATACAAAGCCTTAAAGCTCTGGTCACACAAAGCGACAAATGTGTCGCGATGAACGCATTTGAAACCACCATAAAAATCTGTTCTAATTGAATGTCATTAAAGTTCTAATTTTTTAGTTATAGAATTGTATATTTCAGCCAATATTTTCATTTGAAATATACATTGTATTGTGCAGCAATAATTTAATAGTACATAATATTACAACGAAAATGTATACACCTTGTACAATAATACAAAATTGAATAGTTTTGTCAAATGATTGCATATACTTATTTTAAGAATATATTTGGATATAAATATTTCTCAGTAATAAAAAATACCTAGTACAACAGCTAGGATCGTCCGTAAGATTAAACAACGAAACATAGGTCGGTTTGGGACTTACTAATGGTCCTCATCATTATGTTGTTAGAACGATCCAGTTGCTGTAGTGTCGATACTCACAAGATGTGTATACACAGAGCGTAAGTGGCTCCATCTATCGTGCTACTTCCAACCTACGACATTCTGTGACCTGCTACAATTTTCTTTCAAGAAAGGATAAGTTTGATTATAATATGCTACATTTGTCTTGAATAATTCCTACATTAATACTAAATTTTAAATAAATATATAGATATATTTTAAGGAACTGGTAGTTTTGAAACAAATATGTTTGCAGTTTATAATGAACTGTAGATATTGTAGCTAAAGTCCGAGATAATAAATTTCAAAACTATAAAAGATTTGAATTAAATTATACCTGTATATTTACAAATAATATAAATTCCAAGAAAAATTATAGGTTACAGCAAATAATTCACATAGTTTGACGAAAGTATATACATTTGAATAGAATAAAATAACGTTTACGGCAAATAATTTCATTTAAAACTATCTGCTCACTTGATCCACATACCTTTTTTTCAGTGCACATTTGTATCAATTAGTGATTGGATAATTCTCTTGCAGGGACAAATAAATGGTTTAAATTTGGAACTTATAAGAGACAATTACTTCAGTAAGACCAAAAACCAAACCGTAACGGCAAATATGGAGTTTTCGGAAGACGTGCTATTTTTCGAAACCGTCTCTACACCTAAACTCAACTTGGACGGAGAAATAAATGGAATTAATATGCAGAAATTCGTAGAAACAGTTTTACTGAACGACGACCAGCTTTTTGAACGCCCTGTGTATCTAGAAACATGTCGCGTAGCAGGTAAGTCGATTGTAGCCAAATATTTGTCCATTGTGTTAACTTAAAATTTTTTTTAGATGCTCAAGGTCAGTATCGGGTAAACGATCTCGATTTGGAATACGACGTTATGAGATACGACAAAATGAACCTTATTACTGGTCGCAAAAAAATCAACAGTCTTGGTATTGATAATTTATTAGTCAGTAGCAACATAATGGTAAAAAATGTGGACGTTTTGAACTGGATAAAGAACGGAGTACTTACGAAAGGTCCATTCGAAATTTCTGGAAATAAGCAGCTCCAAAACGTCACATTTTCAAATGGATTGAGGTAAATACTATTAATAGGGGATAACACTCCCTGGTAACAGCATGCACAATGATGGATACACCGAGCGATAGCTTGCGTGAATGAAAACAGTGGTGATAACTGCAAACATTTTTAAACAGGCCCTTCTCTCAATTAAAACGCCACTTTTTACGTTCGTTACTTCTCAGTATTGAAAAAAATCATTTAAAGAACGTTCTTACTTTTCTTGGGGTTTTATGTCGTGTTAAAAAATTTTTAACTTACAAACACTCCACGTACTCTTGTTTGCAGTTTGCAAGGTCTGCTGAATGGGCGAAAGTTCGACGAGGACACGGTGATGCTAAGGGACCTGCCGCAAAGCGTAACCGGGAGAAAAATGTTCATGGCAGACAACGTGGAAGGAGTAATATTTAAAGCCCTGAAGATTACTGGCTTAGTTAACGACGTCGATATCGCGGAACTTGCTCATAATCAGGTAAATTATGCATGGGCAAACTTGGGGATCATATCTTGTCGAGAGGGAACTATTACATGCAAATTAAGTAAATACAATTAGTAATCTGTTCCGACTTGAATGCGCGCATCGTTGCGACACAAAGGACTCCAAATAATTTCGAATAAATCGGTAAATGTTTGCTTAGACCCTTTTGGGAAGCTATTTCTGCTAGGCGAGTGTTATGATATACAGGGTTATTCAGTCATACTTATGAAGAGGGGATATGTAGAATGTATGCAGAATGCAATACAATCCGCAGTTTATTTCGGACTGTTTCGCGTGTCGGTCGATCGCAGTATGAGGAATGGTGGTTTTATATGGAGAATGTTCAAGAAGTGTGAATACCGCTGCAGCAAAGGTGTTTAAATAATAATAATTCGAAAAATTTTGTTTCACAGCAAATATGCATTTTATTTTTTTTTAATCGCTTATCCGAATTCTAATCATTTTTCCCTATCTTCCCTTAAAATTAATGACATTATGACTGAATCACCCTGTATGATTTTAAGTCGTATTATTAGTGAGGTCCGTGAGGCAATCGTACATTCCAGGGGCGTACTTTGTTTTTACAGATTATGAAAAATAATTTCTTGCAAAAACCAAATTTTAACACAATAATAAGTGGAGAAACTACTATTTTCTGTTAAATTTTAAAAATATTTGCAGGTGTTTAAAACTGGAGACAACATACTCAAATCTGAAGTTCACTTTTACGGTAACATAACGGCAAAGAATGTAGTCATCAAAGATTTATACCAAGGAGTAAACGTAACTGATCTATTGAAAAACATCTCAACTTTAAACGTCCTTAATAATTTCGAAGAAAGCTATAAAAGATTACAGGGAATGTCTACTGAGGTGGAAAATTCCCTCCGAGGTAAATACTCTTTCAATACCTGGGAATTTTTTTATAACAGTTTCATTTTTAGGGCAAGCCTACTTTCTGCATTACTACAAATCTGTATCCCACTTTCCTCACGATTTGAAAATATTTGGCAGGAGAAACACTGAGGGTAAATGTCAAGTGATGGTTGTGTACTTTGAAAATGGATTGTGCGTGCTGCGGTTTTTCGACTGGGACCAAGAGTTGAAAGTGTTTCAAAATAAAGCAGGTATGTGTTAAATAAGTGAGTAATAAAAAAGTTTTAAGGTTTTGCGGGGGTTGGGGAGGTTCGTGATCATCATGTTCGTAATCAGCGCCCTCGAAAGTGGGGGGAGGGATACAGAGTTCATCGTTGGGGGTCGACATAGAAAAGGGTGGTTTTTGATGAATTGCAGGGGTTGCGGAGGGTTGAAAATTCAATACATTTTTAAACCCCTTAAAACCGTACTGTACTGGATCCCTTGACAGACAATGATTGCATCGAATATGATGCTACTATAGGACTCCTTCTGTTTAATACTCGGTAAAAAAATTAAGGGATAAGAAAAATTTCCAAATTTTTCAAAATTTTTTTTGCGTTATATTTTTCACAATTTCTCATTGAATACTTATCAAATGTCGAAAAATAATTTTTTTTTCTAAAATTACAAAAATTGTTTTTTAATTTAAAAAAAATTTTTTTCGACATTTGAAATACTTATTAAAGTTGAATTTTTTTTTTTTCGATATTTGATATTTAACGCGAAATTGTGAGAAAAATAGCGCAAAACATTTTTGTTTCATCCTGATCACCATTAATTGATGTTTAAGGAGCAATAACCTGCTCCTTAATTTTTTTATAAAACTTTGAAAATTCAGGAAATTTACAGGTTTCATGGTCATGTATTGAGTTTAAAAAAATTCTATAAACATTGGTATTTTTCGCAATATTTATCTACAAGTAGTCGTTGATTTTCCAAAACAGCTGTTCAAGAATCACTAAAAAAATTTTTTCTGTTTCCTCAATTTTTTTTATATTTATTAATGACGTATTGGATGTTATTGACAATTAAATGTTTGCTTTACGCACATGTCCGCAATTTTATAGCAAAATACGAACCGTAAATTTTAATTTGTGGGCAAAGATGAGTGTTATAACAATTCTCTTGTTCATTCAACGTATCTGACGTATGTAGGATTATAAAACAGACAAAGAGGAAGCAGACACCCTGTATAGTGATTCCATAAAGTCATAAGTGATTCCATAAGTCCACCTTAATTGCAAATACATACATATCGGCTGCACAATTTACAGGGCAATCAATGTAGAAACAGAACAAACAATCAATTGCAAATGTTAATGGACACTACAATAATTATTAGCTAATGAAATTTACATTAACCAATCACGAAATTGTTTGAACATCACACTTAAATCGATAAAGTTAATTAAATTATCGGAATAAAATAAACATCAGTTTAGGTGACAATATCATTAGGTCATAGGAAATTATTACAAACGATTGGCAAAAGTGAGGATATAATTGACAAGAACGATTTTGAACAACCCTAATAATCGGCGAACTGTATAGTTCAATAAAAGGATTCGATTATTAAGGCGATTGCCCCGGGAAAAGTACAAGACGTTGAGAACCAACTAGTCAGCAGATCCGCTATATAGGAGAATTTACTGTAATGGGTCGACTATTACCGCTACCTTACACCGACGGATATTTAGGAAATCGCTTGGAAGGTATTTAGGTACATAATGGATAGATTTTCACCTATTCCGATACATGTTTCTTTCGGGAGAGTATTGAACTTTTATCGAAAAGTAGCAGTATAGGCACATTTAAATGCCTTAAGGGGGCGTTTTTATGCGTTATTTTCAGTGAATTTGTAACAGTTTTTTGAAGAGGGTTTTTGAAAATTTAATCCAGTTAGAAACAAATATGACAAAAATTGGGTACGACATAGTAGGTACAACCCACAAAAGATGTAAACATTGTTGGAGTACTTAGGGTTTTTTTTCTGTTTGTTAAAGTGGAGGGTCAATTAAGTCGGTTAAGAGGTCCCTTCATTTTAGGCCAAAAAAAAAAAGAAATTTTCTTTTATTGTTTATATCCAACAACAAATCCATTGAAATGACCTTGAAAGAACCTTAAAATAGCCTAATACAGACAAACTAGCCACGCAGAAAACCTAAACTCCGAGATACTTTGATTTAATGCACTTTTTATAAATCTGACCTCTAATTGACCTTGATCCTGACTAGGAAGGAGGGGGGAGGTCCCGTTTGGGGTGGAATCGATTAGTTATTGGATATAAATAAACAAAAATGTTTTCCTTTTCTTTGGACAAAAGGAAGGGGACCGAAAATCGACCTAATTGACCCCCCCCCCCCCTTACTACATACTAGTCCATATTTCACTTTATTTCAGGTTATTCTGTAGTGCTTGGCCCTGTTCCAAACTATCTCAACCAAATTATTTTAGGAGATACAGATTACATTTATTTCGAAAATGCAGTGGATCCTTCAGAAAATGCAGGTAATTGCCGTAATGTTCCTTAAAAGCAATGTTATATGTTTCTTTGACACATGATTACACATGAATTTGTAAAAAATCAAAATTTCGGTCTCTATTTCAATAAAATCCTCCTCTTAGAAAATACTGGAATATCAGAGATAAAAAGAACCTTAATTTAACAAACTACAAATATTTACAACATAACAATTATCGAGCAAATATTGAATAGGTTTTTTGTAGGAGCGGAACTTTAATATAAAACATCAAATGCATATTTGTATCTTATATATATA